CAGGACAGTTTTAGGATTATCTTCAAACCAGTGGGAAGAAACCACTCATAAAAAAAAAATCAATCATAAAAGTAAAGGTAAAGGGAAAAGGAATGGCCCAAGAATTGAACCTTGGGGGACTCCATATGGCAATGAAACGAAGCCCTCAATCTGACTGAGAAACATCTCATAAATAAGACTTAAACCACTCTGAGTCACTGTTATAGTGTAATTCAAGTGCTTCTAACATCCATTATACATCAGTGAAAAGGCTGTATTGCCCTTAAGTAATCTAATTTGCATTCAACAGCATAAACCAAGGTAAAACACAGTTCAAAGTTCAGTAGCTTGCCATTTTTATGAATATTTCTCTTTTAAACTCTTAGATATGCTTTCTTTACCAGTGGAGTGATTAAAACATCAAATCACATATATCTATTAATCCTATATTTAGATTATTTACTTTTTTTCCAAATGTGTATAGCCATGTTAGCAGCATAACTCAAGAGGCTTGAATTTTTACTTCCACATACAGTATGTGAACATCACAAGAAGGATGTGTTTGTAAGGACTCTTTCTGGGAATAAGATTGACAGAACCCTGTTTCTAGGCACATGCTGGAAGAAACCAATTATGACAGTGAAGCAATACACACAATGTCCTGCTTCAAAATACAGAGATGGAATTCAGCTATGATTAATCTCACTGTTTACACTCGTGCTTCTAAGTGTGACATGTCTAAATGTCTCCAGAGAGAAAGGCCAATTAAAAACAAAGCTAGACTGCTCATTAGCAGCTTCAGTCAGCCAAAGAAGATCTTTCAGTTTACAATTTGTTGTCGAGATATAACAAATCGCTTAAATCTACTGCGGCAATGGAGAAGAAAGATTAAAATCTGAAACTCGCAATATGTACGGGACAGAAATATACAGCAACTTAAATGTCACGCAAGAAGAACTCCACAACAATATATTGTGAGATAATGTCAAATTACCTGACAGTCTGACGGGTGACTTGTCCTGTCAAACACCTCATCCTGTCCAGTTAGATAGCTCATGCTGTCAGGTAAGGAAACTCATCTTGTCAGGTTAGGTAGTTTTCACATACAGGTAAGTCAGCTCGTTAAATCGGATTATGTGGCTCATTCTGTTGGGTAGAGTAGCTCGTGTAGTTTAGGTATAGGGCTCATGATGTTATAGAGGTAGCCTATTTTGGCAGGTAGATGACTTGTACCATCAAGTGAGTGACCCTTTATGTATGGTAGCATATTTTGCCAGGCAGGAAACCTATTTTATTCAGTAGGCAGTTGATTGTGTGAAGTAGCTTTGTCTGACTTACATGTGCTCCTGTTATAAAATGACCTGTTTGCATTATTAAGTTGTGCAAAAGGATGCATCACTCTTTCACCTCCTATCTTTATGCATTTACCTGATTATTGAATCAGGAGTTACTTTTACCAAAAGGACTAGGACTACTTTTTTCCAAAGTAATTAGATTTCTTGAACCCAAGTTATTTCCCAATGGTAATCAGATTACTTGTTTTCAGATAACATGTGATTAGAGGGCGATAAAACATTAATACCTGTGTCAGCTCGACCATACTGTAAACCCTGTTTCTCAAAATGTGACCCCTCTGTTAGAGATAATGAAGAACCAACCCATTAGACAGACAAAGAAGTGGTGCAGAGCCCTGCTGTACAGTTGTCTGGTGTTTTGATACAAAATAAAGGATACTCATTGAAAAGGTTGGTCTGCCACTTCTTCTTCTGTGTGATATCATTGCAGGTTACATCCAAGTCGTTGCATTACTTCCTTCCTGTGGAGTCAGTCAGCTCTTACATTGTCTCTGTTAAGAAGTTAATAATGCATCCTGTGCCCTCTTTAACTGCTCCTCATTCGTGTTAATCCCATTGCTTTTCATTATCTTCATTATGCCCTGGCTTTCTACAGTAAACTTATTTTAATTTATGACAATTTGTTCTCTTTTTTCAAGAGCTGTTTATTGTCACTGATGCGTATATGAGCTGGAACACATAAAAAATATACTGTAAACTTCAATTAGCAGCCCGGGCAAACTCAGCCTGTCTTTATTTGAGACAGACATCCATAAGAGATGAGCATTTGGTTATTTTCTCAAAAAGTCTTTCACATCTTAGACTTATCGATCATTCTACAGCCTCAACAGTGTATACAACCCTCCTGAGACACAGAATTCAGGTAAGGGAAGTGTTTTGCAAAAAACTGGCAAATGGGAGAGGCATATGTGATCTGGACTCACCAGAAGTGAAGACCACCTGCTGGATTTACACTGTAATTATGACATATACAACATGGTGACAGAAAAACAGAAGAAATAAAATGTAGGAAAAAAAGAATAACTGTTGAAAAAAAGATGATAAAGAAAAGAGCTAATGCAGAAATAAAAAAAAAAATCAGCGAATAAACAGAAATGCTTGGATAAATTAGCATTAAACCACAGAAAAAGCCAATTTAAGCCCATCTGGAAAAAGTGAAATTACTGCCATACTGGGCAAAGTTTGATTCAACAGAGTGTATGTTTTACAGCCACTAGATGGCGCTCTTACTCGAGCTGTAATCATCTGGTGAGAGTGCCTGCCTGATGCTGTTCTCCAAATCAGCTTGACTCCTCTTCCTCAGTTTAGTCAAATAAGACAGATCTCAAACATAAACTCTGCAGCTGTTAATCTGCAGATTATCATAAAGGTGATGGAGAAATAAAGAACCTTTACATACATGATTGAAGAGTGAAAAAATAGGTGGAACTGCCCTTTAATAAAACTTGTAACAAAGAGGGTACTTCAACTTGATTTAAGACTAATTTGGTAGTATAAAAATAGATTTGTGCTTTAAAAAAATTAAGGAAACCTGCTGCCTCTGATTTTAAATCAACAAAACAAACGGGTTTTGCTCCAGATTTGGTAACAAAGGGCAATCAGGGCATGTTTTATCTATCCAGTAATTTACAGTCTGAATAGGGTGAAAGGTTGAACCACATGACCTGGACAAGAGCCTCCCTTGTATCTGTGAAAGCTCCAGATTGCTATCACGGAAATGGGACTCTTTTCAGCACTGGACGGGGGCACATCAGGCTCCGAGAAAAAGAGGTGTCAATTGGTTTCACTGGGGGAAAGAAAAGGAGGAAAGAGAAGGGGGAATAAAAGATGCTGGCAAATTACCAACTGGTGCAGGTGTTTGCCTGACAACAGGCCCCACTGGTGCACTGCAAGGGTAGTCCGGCCTGAGCAGGACCTGGAGACTATGAAAACAAACCCAGCCTATAATGGCAAACACGCACAGAGGGAAGGGTTGTTGGTGTGTGAGGTGCATTGTTCATTCATGCATTAGACGGACAGACCTTTTCAGTCTTCTGGTGAAAATCAAGACAGGATTAAGTCACTTAGCAGATCCAATTTTGTCATATATATAAACATAAATTAAGCAGCTTGATACATCTGCACCTGTTTTGTCATGAGAATCTCAAATATCTCATGCCCAGCTTGCTCAGTGTACCTCCTTAAATAATCAACTGTTGAAATATGATTGACTATCACTGATGAGAACAAATTTGTCATTAACCTTTATACTGACAGTAAAAGCAAGCTTGAAGCTACTCTGTGAGACACACCCCCTAGTCATGTGAATATTCTTGAAGCCTGGTCTCTGAATCATTGCAGCTTGAAAATGAAACTTTTCCAAAGTTTTCGTCCCGAGTCACAAGTCAGATCCAACCACGACACACGGGTAATAAAGTTTACCTCTTTGATTTGGCACAGAGAGAATACACTATAACTTTATTATCTGGAAGAGTTGAAATCTTCAGGAAAGAAACCAGAGCTGGGGGCAAAATCGTAGCAGACACATGACATCTAGTGTGGCTAGCAATGAGTGCTGCCGCGTCAAGCTACCGGAAGAGAATGCTACCAGCACCGGAAATACTACAAAATAAAGCAATTTTACTTTATTTATATATCTTTTTGTAAATCGTACATTGAAGAAATTACGAAAAAGTCAGTTCGCAATTTGTCTGTATGATACTATGTTTTATTTATCCTACACCGTTTTCCTGTCAAAGTGTTATTAACATGATACTTACTACCTTTATTGGTTTGTTTGTTTAATCGATTGATCAAACTTTAAAGCAATTTTTATTCACAGGGCATAGCACCAAGTGCTGTCCATTCCAACATGATATTAAAAACAATGAAATGAAATAAAATAAAATAAATAAGAATACAAATACAAGTACAGAATACCACCCACCCTCTTAACCCCCACTCAACACATACAACACTCATATGCTCACATATACAGATGTACACACAAGGTGAGTGCAAGTTACACATGCAAGGACTCTTTAACTTGCCACAGATGACTGAATACACCACATTATCGCCTTTAATCTAATTCTCACTAAATTAACAGTCTACTTTATTCTCAAATAAATTTTCAACTCTTTTCTTGACCTTTAAACTTTAGTCACGGTGTTACAATTTGGTTAACTAGATGTCTCTGTCCAAAGCAGTGCACTCATAGACTGTATATATACAGTCTATGAGTGCAACACAAGAAAATGATGGCAATCAATAGCATTAATATTTTAGTGATTATAAGTGACCCATTTAGATGAATAGAGAACTCTTAATTTATTCTTAATATTTCAGAATTAAACACTAACTTTATCATTGTTTTTATTCCATTGTTCTTTCTCTGGTCCTAAACCTCTTAAGTAGTCGTTTGTGGAAACTGAGTCAATAAAAAGTATGGAGACATGTCTTTTGGGTTTTTTTTCACCAAATTGTCCACATGGAGCGTTTTACTTCAGTGATCGGGAAAAAGAATCAAAATCTCACGTTTTTCATTTTTATGTATTGGTCGGATGTGGAGAAAAGTGAAAAGTATTAAATAATGAATCAGTGCCTCTTCTCATCTGTCAAACGTTGAGCGGTCATGCTTTTATTTTGAAGGGTCTCATCGGAACCAGCACTGTTACCGTTTAGGTTGAGACACAGGTCAGGAGCCCAACGTGGAGGAGAGGATGTGGGTATGCTGACATCTGCAAGCCAGAGGTTTAACTGGAAGACGACCGCAGCCGTGCTGAGTAACGAGGGCCTTAACAACATTGAAGAAACTCTGAGACATGTAACTTCATTTGAAGGTAATATTTTAACCGAACGTTTGACTTTTGTCGTGAGAAATGAGCCGTTTTAACTTTCATGCGTGCTGTGTCCAAAGTACTTTCTGTTAGCGCGTTGTTGGTGACTTATTTTGCAGTTCGTATTGCGCTGTTTGGTCACCAGAAAAGTGATGTTGTTAATCGTACTCTCGGTTTAAGTTCGTAGCTAAAATGATCAAAAACTGCAGCTTTACGTTCTTGAAAGTGCTTCGTGAATGCCTCTATTGAAAGTTGAGATTTGCCTTTATTCCTCCGAGTCACTGCTGCGCTTATCTGCAATTTTAATGCGTCATTCATTGAGAGATTAGCTCCAACATTCACCCTCCCTGCAGCGAGAGACAAATTATAATCCTGACATTAGTTTAATTTGACAGAGGAGAAGACCTGTTGCTGAACTGTTTGTTGTGACTGTCTGAGGCTATACTCGTGACTGCTTATCTCTCGCTTTTGCTCCTATAATAACAGCCTTTTCTTCCGAGCACATGATAAAACAAAAGAAGAGAGTAGGATCATTAGAAAAGCAGCTGACTCAGTACAAAAGAGCCAGATCTGGATTTTACTTTTGCTTTGAATCGCTGCATATCAGCTCATGTGAGAGGAGAGAAAACATTAGTCAAAGCTCGCCATCACTCATCAAAGCCTTGCTCCTTTGTAAAGAGCTGCTTCCAGAGCTGTATACTCAGTGAAAGCTGCAATCAGCAAAGAGATGTTTGTGTCCTGAAGAGGATTTACTGATCCTCTTTTTAAGGACTTTTCCAAACACAAAGTGGGAGAAAAGGCATCTTGGTTATGACAAGCTGCTGTTTGTATAACCTGTTCAACTGGTGCACACACTACAGCTGGTTTCCCTCCTCATATGGTTGTCTGAGAGTCAATGGACAATGTGTGGTACAGTATGCACTGACTAACAATGGAGCTACCTTTTCATTTGCCACATAAGTGATGACATATAAGAAAAAACTGTGTGTTTACCTCTGTGTAATTTACCATAGATAATTGCCTTGTCTCTTTCATTATGTTTTATTCTGAGATTTCGATCATGCAACAGGGTGAAGTAGCACCAAAGACTGCAGGCTAATCTTACCCCTCGCCTACTTTTTCTTTTCATGTGTTACTTTTTGTTTCATTCCCTCGTCTTAGCCGAAAAGTGGGGCAGGATTTAAGCTGCATCTTAGGCCTGGCTCCCCTCCTGCTCGTTCCAAATCACTCCCCAGAAAGGCTATCAGATTCAGAGGGAGTGGAAGGTGTGATGGACAGCTAATAAAGGGGGGTTTTGTCCGCAGGCGTCTCCATTTTGTAACCTCAGGACTCCCGAGTTCTGGCCAGGGCCCAGGCTGGAGTGAAAGGGTTGTGCTGCTGCTGCCTTTAAGGGACTCACAGTGGACTTTGCACCATAGATATACACACTCCCACAGAACACGTTGCACCTATATTTTCACTTAGATGCAGTTTCACTAAGTCTTGCTGTTCCTAAAGTTAACCACTTTAGCAGAAATGGGAAAAGCTGTCATTAAACTGTGGTGTAAAGAAGAGGAAGCGCTGTTTTTCATTGTGCGTGTGTGTCCATCAGTATTGTTGCTAAGGCTGTCTGGCACCATCTGGCACTGCTGTAAAAGGCACCCTGCTCTAATATTAATGCAACACAATTATGTGATTACACTCAGATCAGTGTCAACACAGCTAAGTGGCCTGTTTTTACTGCAGCCCTCTTTCAAATCCCGGTTGAGTAATCTGATCTGTCAGGCATGAATGTCCAAATTGCTGTCATTGTGTATCTTCAAATGCAGGCTAATCCTTATCTTCAGACCAGGAGCAAAGACATGTATCAATATGCAGACTTTAAATCTGGATTTTTTTGGCAACAACACCTTTTTTTAACCTTAGGTTTAGTTTGTCTGAAGACTGATACAGTAGACTGGCAAACTCTGATTTTTCACCCAGGGGAAAACAACAGAGTGGCTTAAACCTGACTGGCTGTTGTTATTCTGGTTTTGTAATGTGTCTCATCTTGACAGGAGCTGGCCAAAAGCCATAACTCTACTTGTGTCAGTCTACTTATTTTTAAAACCAGGCAATAAACAAAATGATCCAGGCATCATGTTACACCCGTAGACTGTATATGGAATGGAAGCCGCCTGCCTCCGGCAGAATGTGTAACAATGCTTTTGTGCAATGTTGGTTTTAGGAAATGAAGAATAATCGTGGAAATACTGAGAGTTTTCCGTATACTGGCGGAAGGTGGGACCAAGTTATCCATAGTAAATAGTCTATGGTTACACCATAAATAATAATAATTTAGTAATGTGTCTGCTGTTTGTTTCCTCTAAATACTTATACAGCTAATATGTGTAAGCTGTCATAGCATGAATATTAGTAAAACATTACTTTTATATATGTTGGCACAAATTTTCAGGCCTACCGATACTAACATGTAACTTTTCTAGCTTGATCTGCTGATACTGATATCATCCTGGTAATATTGTGCAGCCCTACTGTTATTTTGAAGGTTGTTACTATAGTTGCATTGAAAGTTACAGAAGTGGATGAGAAAAAGGTAAAAGAATGTTTAGAAAGTATAAAATGTTTAGTTGATTCGTGACCCGAAGAGGCACAAACTTAAATGTTGTTTTTGGATTTCATATAAAGCTTTTCCTATAAAGATTGCCAGTTTTTTTAGGTGCCCCATCATCTGCTACAGCTAGCTCTCTGGCAGCTGCTGCTTCTTCATCTTTATCTTCATCCATTTTGTGGCTACAGACTCACAGCTATTTCTTTGCGCCTTAGAAATGTTTCATTCTTTTACAAGACAGACATGGGCAAAAGTTTTCAAGCAAACACACCTGATATCATGTTGAAGAACAACAACCAAAGGTGCACAATATTATCAGCATGATATCAGTTTCAGCTGCTTAAAAAGTTTGTTGTCACTTTCGGCAGATAGTCATATTTTTGCAGATATGACTATCATCCAAAAAGGCGATGCATGTAATAATAGCTGGCACATGTTGGCTGTAAAAAAGTAGATGCATGATTGAATGTCTGTATTCAAAGCAAAACCTGTTTTTAATTCATAGTAGAATGAAATACTGTTTGTCTTGTTTGTGTGGCTCTAAAACAAACAGACTGACATAATAAGAGTAGTGGCTAATCTCCGTCATGGCTAAAGTGACTTTGAAAATGTTGGCATAACAGATATTTGCACGATCCGTTATTGTGTGTCTTAAAATCAAACATGAATGTCTGAACAGGAAATACTCCTTTAAAACGAGCAGCGTGTGAGATTCCTCCTGATGGATTGTGACAAACAGCACAACTTTGCAATCAGGTTTACCGGGTTAGCACAGCTCTCTTAGGGCTGAATCAGGCTTAATTTATGCGGCACATTAGAGCACGGTGAGCCATAATTCAGCCTCTTCCCTCTTAGCAATTTGTACTTAATGAGCATCTTAATGCAGCCCTGAGCCTGTGATTATATTTATGATGTCGGGGCTGATTACTGCAGGTCTGCTCGATCCGAGTTGTGTCCTTGAGGCACTTGTGAATTTAAAGCCTGCTGAGATCTGTCTTGGGTTTAAGTGCTTTGGTGAGAATGTTCCCTTAATTGTGACAGGGTTTGTTACTTGATTAAATCTTGATCTCTAATAGGGCCAGCTTTGATTAAAGAGTCCAATCTTATAAATTTCATCCCGTCGATAGCAGTTTCTTGAGGCTACGGTTCAGATTTCTCTCACACTGTGTACTTTTTTCCTCCCTGTTTCCATTTTATGTTTAAAAATCAATTAAAAATTGAGATTGTTGTGTTTTTATTTGACTCTATGTCTCTTTTCATCCTCCAGGGACCCGTGTCCTGCAGGGCACCCAAAGTTCAGCCAGCCAAGGTGCCCACTGACGGTTTTCCGTCATGAGGGTGCGTTTCTCTCGAAAATTGGGCACGCTAGCCAAAGCAGGCTTCTTGCTTTGGATTCTCTGGCTGGGCTACCTTGTGTTAGCACGCTCTTCTTTCCCCTCCTCTTCCTCTGCAGAGGAGGATGATGAGGAACACAATCATCAAGTGAGACAAGTGGACCTGGAGGAGAGCGGGGCTGATGGGGAACTGGGGAAGCCCCTCTACGTTAAAGCAGCTCCAGATAATAGTGCACATGGGGAGTGGGGCCGGGCCACCAAACTGAACCTCAGCCCAGCAGAGAAGAAACAGGAGCAGGACAGCGTGGAGCGCTACGCCATCAATATCTATGTCAGTGACAAGATTTCCCTCCACCGGCACATCCAGGACCACAGGATGAGTGAGTGAGTAAACAAAAAGGAACGACCCATTGCTCAGATGATGACTATTTCCTTTCCCGTGTTTAGTCTCTGTGCGTTTTTTTTCTCTTTTTCTTCTTTTTGTTGACTCAGGAAAAAAAACAACCCTATAAATGTGTGTCTGGCCTTGGAGGCAGCAGCACGAGGCTGATAGCTCTGCCATAATTGTGACAGGGATGTGTTACTCAATAGAGATTAAGTTGAGCTCCTTACTGGAATCAGTTTTTCCACTGACAGTTTGAAACAATAATGAAGGCTCTCATGATGCAATGTGGGGCTTATTGAAGCCGCTGTAAGCAGCTCTCGGCCTGGATGGATTTACTCCATCCAGAGTTGTCTTCCACTGATATGCCCGGCTCAGCCTCTGGGATGAAGCTCAGACTATGATGCCTTTTATTTGTGGATTTTCTTTCTGCTTTTGCTTTATCCTTTACTGGCTCCCATCCTAGTAAAAACCCTACCATCGTAGTTAGGAAAACCATCTGTATAAAAGCTGTTTGTTTTAAACAGTGTGAGAAAAAGCCTATATTCTAGAGGATCCTTATTTACTTTTATCAACTGTTTCATCAGCTGAGCTTTAAGAAAAAAGAAACCACTGTGCATTTTATTTCAAAGCATCAAAATGTTTGACACATTGGTAATCATGTAGCCTTTGTTACTTTAAGTTTAGATACAATAAGTTATTAATTGGTATTATATCAAAAACTCATACATTACTACTACTAAGAATAATCTTTAAATGCTTTATTAGGTTCTGCTTTAACGTAGCAAAATAATTGTCCTAAAATAAGCTTTTCTGTCTCTGTGATGGTTATCTGACTAGCACCTGTTTCCATTGTTAACTAGGTAACTAGTTCTGCCCTATCTAGTTTATGATTGGTTTGCTAGAGCAGCAATGTTGTCACTCACCTTGTCAAACAAATTAGGCTAGCTACTGGAGCACGCAATCAGATGTGGAACAAACAGTGTGGATGTCCCGAAAAGGCCCTTAGTTAAGTTGGGTTCGTGAGTGTATTCCACAGACTGTATATACTACAGACAACTTGGCTCCGCCTTTTGCCAGTATACGGATTTGAAGCCGAAAAGATCTCAGTCATTTGGTGTTTTTTCTCTTTTTTTTAAACCAACATTGCAAAGTAGCATTGTATGCATTCGGTTGGAGAGTCGCTGTAATGATGCTCGGCTCAAACAGCATATCCCCCGGGTGAGCTACGTAATCTTCATACACCCATAGGCTGTATCAAGTGTCAATCATATAAAACATGAACCCCCTAATAACTTTTAAATATGGAGCTGCACAGAAAAAAAAGGGACTTGAGCACAAACCAGTCTTACAATAACTATATGTCAACATCGCAACCAGGAGGGAGAAATATATATATTCTGTGTAATTAATTTAATAAATAAGTTTGTCCACAACTCCATACGGATTGTTGGAGGAGGCGGGATTTATGACCTATACTGCAGCCCCTCACCAGAGGGTGCTGTTCTCGCGGTGGCTTCACCCAGCGAGGAGGCAGACGGCGTCCATTCCATATACAGTCTATAGTGTATTCAAATGCTGCTTGTTACATTATCTACTCCTCAGGAACGGCGCTATAAAATGACAAACAAACTTACGAGCTAACGGCAGTTAGGTAACGCTAGTGAAGGTATCCGCACTCCCTGCCACAAAGCTAAACAAACCTAAGCCATGGGATTCTGGAAACACAACTTCCAAACAAGACATATCAACTCTCCATGTTGTGTGCTCCTCTGTACTAACGCAGAATCTGTAAGTCAGTGTTAGGGACTGATCAATATATATATCAGTTGGTTGATATGATCGATGACATAGGCCCATAGCAAGAGGACACAGATTTACAGACTGGTGTTGTCTAAATCAAAATTAATTCTGTATTTCTGTCACCCTAGAACTTTTCCCAGTGATCAAAACTCTTAAATTACATGTTAAACTAAAATGAATGAGGGAAATGTGTTTTATCTCTAGACAATACTATGAACTATCCAGCAAGCGTGTCAGTGTGATTTTAGTTCATACATATCTGATTACAATCTCTCCCTTCGAGCTGCAGCACCCCCAGGGTTGGGAATTTACAGCACATACTGTCAGTCGTCTGTATATCTGCTGCTGACAAGTACTTCCTCTCAGGCTAAACTGAACATAAATCTGTTTTAGCTAATAATGTTGTCCTTACAGAGTTTTTCCTGCTCATACTCACTGTTCATCATCAGCACTGTCTGCCGCACATTAAGAAGAGCAGTTAAGGTCCATGCTCGAGGTGATTGAAAATGAGGTTAGGTTTGAAACAAAAACAGCCTTTAAAGAGTCTTTAATGTAAAATCCATCCAGAAGAGATCTGTTTTAATCCCACATTTCAAACTCTCTAACCACGCTGCTTTGTCTCGTATTTTTGTTTTTGTACCCCCTAATATCGGTCTCAAAAACTCTATTAGTCTTTATGCAAATGAACATTTTGCAAATTTGACAGCAAAACCCCTGTGCTGTCGTGCTAAAACAGTTTTATTAAATGTAAAGGTGTGGTGTCGAGCAGAAGTGTCACTAACTCTGTCATATCCTGTGAAATCATGACTCATTGTTTTTGCACCTATTACAATGTTAAACCCTTGAGTAGTTTTTGTGTGAGTTGACTTTCTCTCTACCTACAAACTGTTGCCGCCTTGTGAACACAGAGATCACAGGAGAAACAAAAACATCTCGTATCATTTGAATGAAGATATTCTTGTTCTCAATCCCACAGGGTAGTAGTAGTAGTAGTAGTTATTGCAGAGTCAAGTTCAGGTCTCTCTCTCTATCATACACTTCTCATTCATAAAAATCAGCTATTAAAAAAGAATCTGCCTTTTTGTTTCATTTCCATACTTCACATGATCTGAAGTTCCCTTTTTGAACTTTTTTTGTCCGTCCGCCGTCGCCTTTCAGTCCCCTTTTTCTCTCTGTCCCGTTTTCTTCCTCTCTGTTTGTTCAAGTTGCTGTGGTCTGTCTCAGAGCACTGCTGTGGTATGTTGCTCACTGGTGTGATACCCTCCCCGCCCCCATCCCTATTTCTGCGGCTCTTTATTGTTTTAATGACTGCCATCTGGATTAAGAGCAGATACCTCCTCCTGCTGCCCTGATACTTGCTGAAGCTGCTCTGGCCTCATTAAAAAGACTTGTAATCCCTTCCTTGTACGAGTTCATTTAGGAGGTTGTTGTCCTCCTTATAAATGTGTACTGCACATGTGTACTGTTGCTTATTCCACTCTTCCTGTTTCTTCTTCCCACCCACACACACTCACTCACACATGCTTCAGATGCCGAACTAAGAAGTTTGACTACCGGCGTTTACCCACTACCTCTGTGATCATCGCCTTCTACAACGAGGCCTGGTCCACCCTGCTGAGGACGATTCACAGCGTCCTGGAGACGGTGCCTGCCATCCTGTTGAGAGACATCATCCTCATTGACGACTACAGTGACAGAGGTCTGATCCGCCACCATGAAAATGAGCAAATGTGGATTTTTTTTGTGTCTCAAAGAACTGACACAGAAAAGCCTTCCAAGCTCCGGAACAAAGAGAACAAAGAGATCTTTCAGTCTTTGTCGAGTTTACTAAAGCAGACAAACCAGACCCCAGTTATGTTTTGATTTTTAAGCACTGACAGCTCAGAGTCGAGCCAGTCAAACAAGAATAAGCCTCTGCTATGCATGGAGAAAAATGCTGTCTATGGAGCAGAGAACAGATCATGTGTTTGGATGTATTTCAAAGGCAACGAAAGGAAACAACCTCAGAGACAAGTCAGGGCACATTTCTTTTGATGGCAGGAAAAGGTGTAAAATGAGGAACTGAAAGTGGTTGGTTCTATCTTATTGGTCCGTAGGCCTGTCACGATAACAAATTTTGCTGGACGATAATTGTGCTACAAATTATCGCCGATAAACGATATTATTGACACCATTTTTTAAATTATAGATAATGATATTATATGATATAATAATGCGAGTACACCATGTCAAAAGTGATAAACTTTAATTTCCACACGAGAACAACACTGGTTGTTTTCGTTGACTAAAATATTTCCCTTTTCTCCCACGACGAAGACGTAACGTTGACGAGCTAAACATAAGTCGGAGATGACTAAAATGTGACGAGACGAAAGTGCGTTTACGTTGATGGGACGAGACGAAAATGACGAACAGAGTTGCAAAACTCAGTCAGTTAAACGCTCAACATATAGGAGCAGCTTCAGTCCGCTCTGACAGCTCTCATCAGCCTGCTGTGCTCCTCCAACAAACAGACACACACGCACGCGCACGCACACACACACACGTCGAGTTTTGTAGTTGACGAAAACAAAACTGGTTTAAAGCCGAAATATTCCCACACTTGGGCTGTTGCGTTCGGTTTAGACACCAAAGCTGTCGTGTTCATTCTGTTAGCTTGCTTTTCACTCACGACGCTCACTTGCAGCACTGTATCCAAAAGTCTGTGTCTGTGTGCCTGTGCGCGCGCCAGCCCCCTCGTGACAAAGACACTGAATGACTGACAGGAGGGTTCACTAACTCCGTTCATTCCGCTATAGAGCCAACGCCCCCAGGTGCTGAGAACAATGCGCAGAGTGAGACCTCTTCTCTCATCCAGCGTGTTTGGTAGCGAGAGAGGAGGAAAACAAACGCATGTCAATTATCGAGGCTGGCAAAGTTATCGACCTCGTTTTTATTTATCGAGCGATAAGGCGATTTATTGATTATCGCGACAGGCCTATTGGTCCGTTATAATGCTGGTAATCTATTAATAGGAACGAAATAATTCTGCAGAGTCATGGCGGAAATTCGTCATATTGCCTTGGGTCTTTATTTGCAGCCTTTTTAAGGGTAAACTCAAGGCTTTATTTTGATCCTGTGTGAAGGCTGTCTCGATCCTCTATACCTGAGAAAAACTGCCTGATCTCGGCTCCCCTTACTATCTCTTCTGAGCTCTCAGCCCCTCTCACTCTCTCCATCGGTAAAGGAAACTAAATGATTTCTGCAGACTCTCCGCTCTTTGTCACAGAAACTGGATATAGGAGTAGCTGAATGTCTGTTCGTCCTAATGGAAGAAGTATTTGGTCCAAAGCTAGCCTGGTCTGTGTGTCAGAGACGTTACACTATGATGATTACATCAGTTTGCAACGAGCTGCCATGACATCATTTCCCCCACTTTAACCATTCTGGCCAACTGGAACGCTAGACATGCCTCTCCCTGACCAGGACGCTCCCTGCAGACAGACAGACAGCATACTCTCATTTTTCCAACTGGGTTAAACAGGCCGACCTCGATCATCCCATGAAAGTCGGTTTGAGCCTTTGACACTAATGGTTTTGTGGGTAAAAATGTATCAGATACAAGTATTAAACCAGCTAGATTATGCTAAAAACATAGTTGAACTCACTGTTTGTAACAGGACAGAGGGTTGGGGTCAGACCAGTTGTTATCACTGACCTTTGCAGTGCTTTTGGTGCTTTTAAATGAGGTTGTGTTTACCGCGTTTATGAGAAGAGGCCAGAGGAGCGCCCTCTCTTATCATATTCACAAAGTTATAAGTCAAAAGTTTCTCAAGGCTTCCCGTTCAAATCAAATCAAATCAAAGCAAACTTTATTTTATGTTGTGCTTTTCATACGGTCCCTGCAGCGGTCACAAGTTTGAATCCGGCCCCAACCATGTACTGCATGTCCTCCCCCCCTCTCTCTTTCTATCTCCCCAGAAAAACAAAAAAAAAAAAACAAAAAACTGAAACAACCCTTAAAGGACCCCCACTCACACACACAATTGCCTTACTCCATGCAGCACTACAATCCACAGGTTACACTCACACACACAGTCTCCCCTTAAGCCATACACACACACACACACACACACACACACACACACACACACACACACACACCAATGCAGCCGCTAAGATAGTGAACATGAGGCTGAGTACAGATGAACAGTTGAGAAAGTGCCATCAGAGGAGCCGTCAGCACCAGGAGCTTAGAGCCACCCCAAAGCCACAGGACACCGACACAGGGCCAGGGGAGAGATGTGGCAGACACCTCCACCAGGAACCCTGTGACCGGCCCCTGCGACCACAGCTGACCACTGCTCCTGGTGCTGAGGGCTCCCTCAGAGGAAACACTGGGGTTCCTACAAATGATGAAAGGATAAAAACAAGTAAAAACGAAAATATGAATCAAATCAAACACAGACAAACTCAGTTACAATAAATACAACTAAATATGAGATAAGAAGCCTAAGATAGCTAAAATCAGTGGAGATAAAATAAATAAATATTAATTAAAAGCTAAGTTAAAAAGATGGATCTTGAGCCTGCTCTTAAAAACATGAACGTTCTCTCTGAGGTCCTCTGGAAGGCTGTTTTATGAGAAGGAAAGACGCCTCACCATGAGAGTGTGTCCTGACTTTAATGTTACGTGTCTGATGACGTTTTCAGATATGATAGAGCTCACGTTTAGACAATTACTATATGTTGTTATGACACAGACGGGTCTATAGTTAATAGGGAGCTGACATTCATGAAAGAACAGCTTATACAGAGTAGTTTGTTTAACATTAACCGCAAAAAAGGAGCTATGGCAAAAGGCAATAGAGATCTAGCATCCATGCTGTTCCTCGCTTGAACACCACGCCTTTCATTTTCACACAGCGTCACAAGTTTCATTTGAAGGCAGCACATGAACGCTACCCTCTAATTATATTCATGAGTCAAATTTCCTGAAAGCTGTCTTCAAATCCCCAAAATAAAGACAGAGAAAGAGAAGTTAAATCCATGAAGAAGAAGAGATGATGTCACTTTAATGATAATGTGTTTTTTTTGTGTGTGTGTTTATTCACGATAGGTTACCTGAAGTCCAGACTTGCTGAATATGTCAGTAATCTGGATCGAGTGCGGCTCATCCGCACCAAGAAAAGAGAAGGTCTGGTCCGAGCGCGTCTCATCGGAGCCCGCTTTGCCACAGGGGAGGTACTGACCTTCCTCGACTGCCACTGTGAGTGCGTCTCAGGCTGGATTGAGCCTCTACTGGAAAGGTGAGTTTGCTAGACTATATGAGCCTTTAAAACACAACTCAAAACTGACACTGACAGAATTTTCTTTTTTTTCTCCTGTGTTTAGAATCGGTGAGAACGAGAGCACTATTGTGTGTCCTGTGATCGACACCATAGACTGGAACACCTTTGAGTTCTACATGCAAACAGACGAGCCCATGATCGGAGGCTTTGACTGGAGACTCACCTTTCAGTGGCACTCTGTCCCAGAGGTGGAACGCAAGAGGCGTAAATCCCGCATCGACCCCATCAGGTGAGCGTTTAATCTCAGAGACAGTTGTAAAGTCCTGAAGAGCCACTCTGGAGGGAGGTTATATCAGGGGTTTGCTCATGAATAGGGTGCAGCTCTGCTCTAAACATAGCACTTCACCTCTAAGTCAGTCATTCATTAAGCAATCAGTTAAACTGTCATAGAGAGAGAGGGAGGGAGATAGTAACAGTAAGGTCAACAACCCTCCAAAACTGGAAATGAGAGGTGGTGTCTGAGTGTTTCTCAGCAGTGAACTCTCGTTTGAACTTGCACAGATGTGGAGGAAGCTGCTGACTTTAGTTTGGATCTTAGTCAGCAGTTCCCTGCCTGCTGCTTTAGCCCTATCACTATTCAGCCGAAAACATACAGGATCCATATTGAGCGTGTTCCATATTTGCTCCGTAGAGCAGCATTGGGTATTGCCCACAGGATGCATATTTGGAGTGTAGCAGCAGCTTAGTGCAGCCCCGGTCAGCTGGGCTCAGTATAGGGGAAACAACATGCTCACAACAGGTTGTTTTGCCTTTCTGTGGTCTATTTCCTGATAATTTGGATATAATTTAGTGACCGTTGAGCCTCTACTATATTGTGAAAAAGCAACAGGATTTTACAGTTTCGGTTTTTGCAAGTTTACTCGTGTTTAGTAAAGTAAACGATGTTCCTTTATACTGTGTTGTTACCTTCAGACAGAGTCAGCAGTTAAAAGTCCTGTTGGGGTCCACATGGATCAGGGATTGACCATCAGATTGTTTTGTGTTACTGATAAATCCATAACCAGGAAGTATTTCTCATCTACACCAACTGATACACAGTCAGGAGTCTGCATATGGTGTTTTTTTTTTTTCAAAAATCGAATGACATGCGTGGTTTTCGCGCTTTACTTCGTGTCAAGTACAATCTTCTGTGTGGATTGACATGTATTGGAACTGTAGAGCAGCACGAACAGACAGCAGTGCTGCGCTCGATACGATGCTGCGACAGAGCTGATATGCGTCCTGTATGCTTTGCTGCATTAATTAGAATGGCAACCTATTTGCTGTGTGATACGTGACGCTGCTGCCACGCTCCTAATACACATCCTGTATGTTTAGCTTTTAGTGCTCTCTGTTCCTAATCACAAATATTGGCATTTTGTTAAGAGGGACAGTATCTAATAACATGCATATATACATCAGTTGCACTTGGTCTCCTTATGTTTTCTTTAGCTTGTAAACAGGCAACTCCACACCGCTGTACAGTGATTGATGCCTATAAAATGACTTCATCAATAAGAAAGTGATTAGAGCATACCCACTGCAGATACACACACCTCCTCTGGATTATAAGTGATGATTCAAAAAAATATTTGATTTGGTTTGAAATGATTCTGAACCAATAATCTCATTAGTTTCGCTTTTTACTGTATCTGGTAAGACTCTGGCGTTGTTTCAGCTTTTTCAGGAATGAATATATTCACCCCTAGAGAACCCAGAACAAAAAGAAAGTATGTAGTTTGACATTTAGTCTGATTTAGTTTGCTGCCTGTACCCCCACAGCCAAAATGTCAGTGACATGGTAGCTGGTTCTGGCCCTCTTCCCGTTGTCCCGCTGTAGTGCGAGGGATTCTTGATCGTAAGAGTTGGGTAAAAATTTTGGCAGTGATCCCTTTCAGACAGGAACTGAGATCTTGAGCAGGTTACATCTTGTAAAGGTGAGGTCGGTCAGCTGAGTGGATCAAAATAAAAAGGCTAAATTGTTCCTGTGGAAGTGGGTGAAGATTTACCACTATTACACTGCTCTTTTCCGTTTCACTGTTTCTCTCAGGTCTCCAACAATGGCAGGAGGCTTATTTGCAGTCAGCAAGAAATACTTTGAGTATCTGGGCACCTATGACATGGGGATGGAGGTGTGGGGAGGAGAAAACCTGGAGCTCTCCTTCAGGGTGAGTTTAGCGCTTCCTGTGTTTGCCACTGTGATATATGTTTTATGACATAGTTTGTGGCCCATGTTCTTGTATTCATCCATCTAGCAGTCAACGGTCGCTGGCCGGCTGGTGTGAGAGCGACACATGTCAGTGTCAGATCACAGTCAGCCAAAGCGTCCCAGCCCGCACCCTGATATTAGCTGACACCTTGTTGTGACGCTGGTGTCGCTTTTCAGTTGTTTGCGTCAATCAAATTGGCAGAGATTTGAGGCTACGTGTGAGTTTGTATCAGGGGCACGCAAGGGTAGATGATGCAAATCGTGTGTGCATGATTTATAGTGTGTATGAGGTTTCACAGTGAGGAGGAACGGGCTCATCCCTTGAGTGATGCGTTATGCATGTGGAAGTAAAACTGCCTCTCACCGGGACTTTTCGGCATACATAATTTATGCTCAGTGAATTGGTTTGCAACCCAGCTTTTGGAGTGTTAAAAATATGGTGGGGATGAAGCTGCTGTGGAATTAAGATGGAAGGAACTGTCATTTAATGGCTGTTTGGCTCCGGATATATGGTAATGATTTCAGCGCCTGTAATTGGAACATGGCTCAGCCAAGTGTTAAGAAGGACCTTGTTAGATAGAAACCTTTTAGACTTTGAGGATGTTTTTTTATATTCTTTTTGTTTATCTTTGGTACAAGATGAAGCTGTCACAAGATGGACATTTCTGAAATAAACAAGAGCTGTTTCGGATGTGGTAGTCGTAGTACTTTAAGGAAACAAGAATTAAATTAAAGGTGGACCTGTGAGGCTTTGTTCCTCATTTAAGGAGCATTTCCAATATCATCATTTTAGCTGCTGACAGGTTCCTGTCTTTCTGCAAGAAGACATGACGACACAATAGTTTAAGGGTTTTGTTAGGCAACTTCTGGCTTACAGGCTAACTGAGTTCGTACCTCGAAGCTGGTGTTTCATTGTAAACGGTGACCCTGTGAACTGGCTACGCCGCTCACTGATGCCTCCACTTTTTCTAAACTGATTTGTATATTTGACACCACAATAACATGATAGATCAAGGTGCTATCACGACTCGTTTAGGGTTTCACCAGTTTCTGTAACCACGACAACCACTGACACATTGAGTGGAAGTCGCCGGATTACAGGGTAACTTTATCAGATATAACACTGGCTTTCTTCCATAGACTGAATATAGAATGGAGAACAGCACCCTCTAGTGACGGGCTGCAGTATAGGTTATAAATCCCGCTTCCTCCAGCAATCCCTATAGAGCTGTTGACAAACAGAATATACATTTTCTTCCCCCCCGATTGCGATATTGACATGTAGTTACTGTAAGTCTGGTTTGTGCTCAAGTCCTCTTTTTTCTGTACAGCTCCATTTTTAACAGTAATTAGGGGTTCATGTTTTCTATGATTGACACTTGATACAGCCTGTGGCAGTAGCTCACCCGGGGATATGCTGTTTGAGCCGAGCATCATCACAGCGACTCTCTCGCCGAATGCGTACAACGCTACTGCACATTGGTAATTTCCGGGATTTTCTCCACTTCCTGGAACCACTAAGAGCAATTCGGCTTCAAATTCGTATAATGAGAGAGGGAGGAGCCAAGTCGTCCATAGTATATACAGTCTATGCTTTCTACGCAAAGTGTGACTGGTCAGTGCTGTGATTGTCAGCACAAAACCATTCAGTGTCAGTTTTAGGCCTAAATGTGGAAACAATTAAAAAATATTGTTTATTATTAGTTTCAAATTGCCCTTGCTCGTTGAATTGATGAATGAACCATAAGCATACTAAAAATAACTTATACTTGGGAAGTCACACGTGAAAGAAGATCAGGTTTTAACACACAGACCAAAGTTCACCAGTTAGAGTTGCATATAAATCCAGGATGTAGTGTGCAATAAACAAAGATCTTGGTTAATGATAAATGATTCTGTGTAACTGCTGGTTCTCTATCAGGAAGATCAGCGTAAAAAGATGAACATGTACAATATCTGCTGACATCAGAAGCAGTTCATCCACTTATTGTTTCTTATTATTTCCTATCTATGTGGCTTTATGTAAAGCGAAAGTGTCTCATATGTGATCTGTCATGTGTAACCCCCCTAGGTGTGGCAGTGCGGGGGAAGCCTGGAGATTCACCCCTGCTCTCATGTGGGCCATGTGTTCCCTAAAAAAGCCCCCTACGCGCGGCCCAACTTCCTGCAGAACACAGTCCGAGCTGCAGAGGTTTGGATGGACTCGTATAAACAACACTTTTACAACAGGAATCCCCCTGCCAGGAAGGTGAGATAAATTCAAGGACCCGTTCCTTTAACCGGTTTGTCTCAGTTGGTTGTTCAGCTGCTATGAGGAAACTGGAAAATGATTCATGCTCAGACAAGAATATTTACCAGCATTGAGCTTGGTGTCAGTTAGCCAGTGCAGGTTTGTTTTCCTCATTAAAATTAAAACCCAGCAGTGATGCCGAGTTTCACCTTGTAGCACCTTGTTTATAAGACACAGAAAGGCTTATCTTTGATGTTCGAGTCTGATGTGATATGGTTCAGCTGCCTACTTCTCGACATACGATGAAACACAGTCTGGCTGACTTGGTCAGTCAGTCATGTGTGTGTTTCTGCGGTGCGTGTCGTGCCTCTCAGGTTCTGAGTACCACCATCACCATCAAACATTCATGTATCTCAGTTTCACCTCTCTGAAAAAAAGTGCATTATTAATGTCAGGGATCTTTGATCAAACAATAAATTACCTGGTCAGAGGGAGATTGAACACAGCAACTGGAAACCAGCGTCTGATCTGTTATGTTTGTGAAACTGAGTTTATTTTGTGTTAAAGTGCAAACCCTACCCACCTGTTTTTTTTTAATAACTTGCATACAATTTCGAAGAAAGTTAGTATCATGGAAAAGGAGATTTTCAGATTATTTAATAGTAAAAGGAGTTTTTACCCTGGATAGAATTTGGAGTTATTTGTTGTCTTATGTGTGGGGAAACCACATTCCTCACATTTTTTCTCAGCAACTTTTCTGCACACTGTTATCTGAAAAACACCAGAACAAAAGTTTCTCTCTGAAGGGGCTCGGTGTATCTTGAAGGCCTGGAAGTGAAATTCCGCTTCTAGGCAGAGCACATGTACACTGTGAGCAGGTGTGGCAGACTTTGGGCAGAGTTTATTACCTGTGCAAACACACTTATCTGTAGTATACACACAAAAGGTGTGACCCGTCCCAGTTAGTTTTAAGGTCAAGTTTGCTGGTCTTTCTTTCGAGTAGTAGGATCCAAGTATGAAATCCAGGATGTAAATATTTACTTTGATGGTGTGACAGTTTAATTTTGGAGTCTGTAAACAGTTCTTCATAGACTTGGTCATCTTTTAGTGAAATGTCATCAACTTCTTATCCTTGATTTCTTCTCAAGTTTTCTTGATGGTTGTGTGTAATCCACAGGAGACTTATGGTGATATTTCAGAGCGGCTGCTGCTGAGGAAGAGGCTGAACTGCAACAGTTTTGATTGGTATCTGAAGAATATTTACCCTGACCTGCACGTACCTGAGGACAGGGAAGGCTGGAACGGGGCTGTGAGTGTCTCATTTTCATGTCTGAGTTATGTTGCAGCTTCTGTGTTTCACTGACTTTTATCCTCGACATGAATCAGAAAGAAATGGTTTTGTGATTGTGTCTTGGTGTCCTCCTTAGTTTCACATATTTCCAGCGTGAGGTTTTTGTGCCGAAAGAAAATCCTCATGAAATTGAGAAGGTCCAACTGAGACAAACAAAGGGCTTTGAAACCCATTTGGACCAGGATCAGGACCATTTTCAGTTCAACACACAGTGCAGGATTTCATTGTAAAATATGCTGCACCAAAAAGCCGTCTCTGACTGAACATCCCCAAATCCGTCACGTTGTCAGGTTTCATCTTGGCAGTGATGCAGGGGCACTACACAGAAATCCATCTGTCATTGTCAGCCAATAATTTTTGTACACTGTGTATGTGCACACTGAATTACATAGGTGTGTATGAATTAAAGGTGGGGTAGGCAGGATCTGAGGAAGTACCAGATTTGAGGAGAAATCTTGAATGTAAACTCTACCCCTCCCAACCAGTTTTCCCCTCAGCTCCTCCTCTCCCCTCCGTCTCTGCTCCAACAAGCTCGCTCCTGCTCGCTCATATCGTTTCAGCTAAATTCAGATATAAGGCAGATAAATACTTCAGATAATTACAAATTGGGCCCAGTCAACGTGAAAGTAAAAAGCATTGGTGCCCTGTTTTTCTTAGTGTAAAATCAAAATGATATGAAAAAAAGTCATAATTTTGACTCTAATCACAAAATTAATGGACAAATGAAAATCTAATGGTTTTGTCTAATCATATCTGATCAAAGAGGGCTGGGACTGCATAAAAAATGAATATTTTTCAGGCTTGAAATTTGCAGAATTTATTCCCCAATATTCAGAGAAAAATCTGAATATAAAAGATTATTTTTTTTTCCATTGATCCTATCCCTCTTCTGTGTGTAAACACGAAATGTTCATTTGTTTATACATTCATATACACGCACACACACACCTCATTCACAGTAAATTGATTGTCATGATTTTTATTGTTTTCTTTTCCCAGGTTCGCAGCTCGGGAATCTACTCTGAGTGTCTGGACTATAACGCACCAGAGCACAACCCTACAGGAGCCCACCTCTCTCTGTTTGGCTGCCATGGCCAGGGAGGCAACCAGGTGCATGAAACTTTTCACACTTTAATTTTGTCTCCAACTCTCTCTCTCTCTCTCTCTCTATCGCTCGCTTGCTCGCTCTCTCATGCATATTTCCTGCTTCAATCACACAACCTGATAGGAAAAGTACCTTAAAATGTCGTCTCTTTCTACAACAAGCTGCCACAGGTGATTCACACTCTGCCAGTGTGTCCAGCATGTTTGGAATTTATGAAATGGAAAAACTAACTTTATTTTCTCCACAAATGCCAAGAAAATATCATATCGTTGATTCAAAGTACTTTTTGATTGGACACCCTCCAACTCCAGTGATGGATGGAGAAGCTGCATCAGCAGACTGTTTGTCTGTGAGGATGTATATTTAATGTTGCAGTCAGATAACCGGCACGGCTCCTCTCTGTGAATCTCCAGCCGGCTTGATATCTCTGATTACCCGGCTGAAGCCTCGCATCAGATGTCCCGGGCCACAAAAAGCACCATGTGTGACTGAAAATCAATGTTTGAAAGGCTTCCAGCTGAAACAAAAACCTGAGGGCCCTTCACCACCTCTCCCCCTTTTCCCTGGCCCACATAAGAACTAGGTTCCATTTGAAAGATACATGAGCCTCATGGGCAGGATGAATGGCACTGGCCAGGTAAATAAGTTTGTAGCCAGACACAGGGACCCGTGTGACTCTTTTATCAGGGAAGACCATTATGGGCCCCGATGCACCTGAAAGATGTATGAGATGTGAAGAAAGGGATGTGGAAGTTTGAAGACTGATTACCTGACCCTGCGTTTAATGCGAAGACTGGGGAGTGTTGCATCTTTTGTCCTGATGGGTCTGATTGTTCAAAATGACACCAGAGGGAGGAGAGTTCTGTTTGAGCTCACGGCTGGTTGATTGAAAGGGCCGGGCCCTGGTCTGTACCCATGAGATCCCTCTATAGACATGGCATGCGTGCAGCGCAGTCAGGACCTGATCCCAGAGGCGAGTCCGTGAAGTGCTCCCTGTAATCCTAGACGTAAAAAACAAGCCAAACTGGAAGATTAAGCTTGAAGAGGCAGAGAAGAGATGAAGGTGGAAAAAGAGCTTATATGGAGGTGAAAGGAGAGCTGTGGGACTCTCTTCTTCTTCTTCTTCGTTCTTATTTTTTTTTTTTATTCTTTCTTGAAATCATGCACAGTTTACAATGAATGAAACGGACATCTGACATTTGAGGAGGGAGTCAACATGGAAAGAGACACAAGGCAGGAACATTAAAACATAAAATAACATCAAACATTAAAAGCAACACGCAGTCAACAGACACATCTATATGTACCTAAGCACCCACACCTACTACCTTCACACCCATCTGTGCGTACATCAGAAGAGATGGTTAAAAAAAACAATAAAAACAAGTCATTAACATTCATTTTATCGGTCATTGAAAGTAAAATTTATCAGGAAAATACAAGATTAATCCATCCAAGTCATCCAGCAGGGATTTTCTTGGACTGAATGTCCTGAATGTATCTTCCTTTAGGACAGGATAATATTTGAAGAAAAGTTGTCTCGGTGTCATAAACGTGTCAGAGCGAGCTCTTTAACAGAAGCTGTTACGATACGGTATAATTAGTGGAAATGGTTTCAACATCAGCTGTTGGGAGGTCTGAAAAAACTAACTGTAAATCTGTCTTTTTCTTCAGTACTTCGAATACACATCTCAAAAGGAGATCCGGTTCAACTCAGTGAAAGAGCTGTGTGCAGAAGTACCTGTGGGACAGAGCTCCATTGGGATGAAGCACTGCCCCCATGATCGGGAGCCCAAACCTGCCAGTATCACCTGGGAGTTCAGAGAGGTAGTGGCCAGCTTACTTTTATACAATGACCCCACAGGAAGATGACAGTTCAGTTCTCCTTTTAAATCTCCTTCAAACTCTCTCTAATCTCTCTCAGGACGGGACTATCTACCACCCTCAGTCTGGCAAGTGTATGACATCTTACCGCACTCCAGAAGGACGCTCAGATGTGCAAGTGCGCCCGTGTGTCCCCGGAGACAAAAACCAGCAGTGGAAGTTTGAGTGGTAAGAGGACAAGGAGAAGAAGAAGCCGGAAACCTCAAGTGACCTTCTTTTATTATAGTGCAATTACTACAGTGGATGACTCTGCCACTGCCTCCACGGCTGAAGTCTGCACTCTATTTAGATGGGAATGTCGAGCAAATACAAAGGTGGTGAAAAGTCACTTTAAGCCAATGATTCACCCTTTTCAGCGCTTTGATTCCCATGTGAATAACTAAAGAAGAGCAGTCTGCAGCAGAGTGAATGAGGACTGCAAAGCAGGATTTATTGGTCTTTTAACAGAGACCAGCTGAACTGCAGACTTTAACTTTGACGTTGCTTTTCATCCAAGTGCCTGAGCCCTTGAAACAGAGTCGAATGCACATCGCAGGCATCTTTGCCATGCCTTTTTATGTCTAATGCAAGAACTTTAAACCAGCTAAACTGACCCCAATATTCAACACAAAGAAGTGCCTTTGCGAGAGCTGAAAGACAAGGTAATTCCTACATGCGAAAATCATGCTGCACTACAAAACGTTACCCTAATGTGCAATTATTGATTAATATTATTGTAAAATCCTTGTAATTGTTTGTTAATTGTCAAAAAGAAGTGATTTAAAATTGGGCAACTTAAAGACAACATGCCAGGAATGTAAGGTCAGCTGCTTGTCTCCCTACACCAGTTACCTTCTGACATGCTCCATCATGTGAGAGGTGAACCAGCGCCGTCATACCAGACTGCCTCTCTATTCTGTCTCTCATCTGCAGAGGCAGTTTCACGCTGGAATGCTGCCCGAACAAGACTTGAAGCATTTATTAAGGTTTTTGTACAAGTGCAATTTGTCCCAGAGGGCTTAAAGAGTCCACAGGAATGTAGTCATCTATTTTTCCCTGTGTTGTTGAATTAAGAAGACCCTCACTCGTCTGTCACTGTGCTTTTTGAAGGCTTGACATCCTAAGGGAGCTAAAATGAAATGTGCCGAAATGAAATGTGCCAGCGGAGTTCAAGCGGAACATTGCAAATGTTTAAAAAAACAAACCCTGGCTTGATGGGCTTGATTTTTATTCAGACGCAAAAAGCCTTAAAGGTAACACCTGTGTCACGCAATCCTTCAATTTGCTGATGCCAGACTCCTGCGTGTTCACTGTACTTGAAACAGCATCAGAGACACTCCTGTGGGTTTTGTTTTCCACTGAGGACTCTCTTTGTGTTTCTACTGGGATTTAAGGACCAAGAAAGACAATTTAACTATTTAAGATGTGTAGCAGCTGTACTTGCCGAAGACTGTTTATCACTGAGCAATGTTAAGTGTCTGTGCTACTTTGAAGTCATGAATATGTGATACTCATGCCAGTCAAAGTACACAGTGTGTCATCATGTTAGAAAACGTATGTTTTTTTGAGTGACGTTTGGTTTAAGGGACCAGAATGGGACGGAGTGCTCTGGAGAGGGAGCTCTGAAACTACTGATAATGAAAAAGGGATGATGGTGGTTACTTGATATGAAGGAGAGGGGTGGAGGTTTCAAAGAAGATTAAAGCTTTTGGGATGACTGAAAGAATAAAAAACTAACAGCAGACATTTTTTTGTCATTTTCTTTGTCTCTACAAACAGTGTGCTGTCAGCAACCACTCAGAGAAACCTCTTATCTGTATATCACTGTATGAAACAATGACATGCAGGGAAATCTAATCTAACCCACAAAGAGAAGCAACATCACTCCATTGTACTTTCCATTCAAACAGTAACAGTATTTACAGTTACATGGCTCCACCTAATGGTAGGAAACCATGTTACACACCACTCAGTCTGCTAAAGACAGTTTATTGTCTAGGTCACAGTCAAGGGGGTTTACAAAGATTTTTATTTCTGGGTTGAGGATGAGACAATTTTATTTGATCATAATTTAGTTTATTAATGGGCAAAATCATAACAGTAAAATCAACAATATACATTAGATGATCAGCTTTTACTTGACATAATTATATGGTATAATAACAGTAACAAGCAAAGCAGACAAGTCAATCGGACAAGACTGGCAATTTGTAAAGTGTAATTTTTAAAACCTGTAACCAGTGTAAGTGAGTAGGTGTCAGCCAATAAGGAGCTAATAAAAACAGTCCTGTTTTTATGATTTATATTTAAAAGTATTCACAACTAACAACACATTTGGCTGTAAAAAGTTAAAAAGATGAGTTTGTTTGTAAAAGACACTTCTGAAGCATGTAGCGGACAAGATAAGTCAGAACTGTTTTGTCCACAGGGGGTAGCCAACACTGATACAAACCAAAAGTTTCTGACAGGAGCTTTAAGACAAAGCACATCTAAATCACAAGAAGACGGGCTTCAAAGTTTAATAATATATCAAATTAAGTATTCAAAGTTTCAAATTCTTGTTAAGAACTGAATGTTTATTTATCCCAAACAGTGAGTGTGGAAGCTGGTAAATCACTACATCCTCTTGGAGCTGTAGAAGCTGCTAAATGGTCTTTTCATGCTGCAGGGTTTCCAAACACTCTCAGGATCTCTCTGATACAAATGTCTTTTCATTCTTTTATTTTCACATCACAAACTTTGACACAAATCATTACATATTCAAATTTGAATAATCAAATCTAAGGGCTGATGACTTCCTTAATTAATTAGCTTAAAAAATAATATCACACATGAATACAGCAGCATCAAAAGGCCTGCATGCTTCTTTGAGAGCCAGGTTTAGTTTTGCAAGGATATTTCCACTGTTTATGACATGGTTTTTAAACAATTTCAGGATTTAATTAGAAGAGGAAGCATAAACTCAAGAATTAAAGTCAACTTTCAAACCCTCAACATATTATGCATCAGCTATTTACTTGTGATACATCACAGTAGATAATAAGGCAGCCCAAAGGTGCTCATTATTGTTCTACATCTGTTGCATGGAAAATGTTCTCCATCATCCAGTCCTGAATAAAAACGCTCTCATGCATTAACATTAATATTGTGTCCCTGACATGACACGACAAGCCCAGTCTAGCGTGGTATATTACAACACTCAGGCTGACATGTCGCCTTCCCATGTCTCTTTGTAGTTTTCACAATATAGGTGCTCGATCAAACAGAATGCCACTCAGATTACCTCCTCGCCTTGAACGATCAGCTTAATTATTTAGCATTTTAATTTGCTTAAACATAAATTTTGTGTCACATTTCATCTTTGGTGTCAAGAGTTTTCAGATCAGTTTCACATGAGTGACAACTGGCTGCATATGAAAAAAGACCACTGAAGCAGAGGGCCCAGCTGAGGAGGTGTTGCGAGGTTAAATGAGTTTGTGGGTTTAGATGTACTGAATATTACAAGCTGAAATTGACATTGCAGATACGATTGCAAACTTGTCAGCTTCTACCTGAACTTGGACTAAGATGAAAAGGAAAGAAATAAGATTGTACTAATCAAGGAGGGTGGGTATAACTGGTTAAAAAAAAACTGAAATGTGAGAAATATGGTTTAAATAATAACAATGTATTAAAAAAAAAAAATCTTTACTGGCTCAGCTAAGCGCACCATGGTATTGCATATGCCATGATCGCAAAAAGGCCACCAAAATAGTTTTTAAAATAAATTAGTTTCAACAAAGACTTGGATAAATTTCTCAAACATTCATTTTTTAAAAAAAAGATAGAAAATATTTTGGTTTACTTTTTTAAAAATATCCTCAGGTGCTGCAATAACTTTTGTCACATTGGTGTAGGACGCTGAAATCTTTGGATTACCAGGTGACTTTTAAGGGTACAACACCGCACTTTAATGGACTTACAGGCTTAAACTCTTTCCACGTGCAGAGGCCCTTTGCTCTCTGTCTCAGTCTTTGGATTGATCACATTATAATAAAGTCAAAGACTTTTGGTCTTTGGTCATAGCAGGTTTTAGGACTCCTCACTGCTGTTATCAACCCAGACAAGGTCCCAGACAATCCACCCTTCCTGCCTGTTACTAAGACAGAAAAGCTCCCAAGTTTAAGGTCTCTTCATTATCAATTATCTTCCTTGAGTGAATTGTCGTTCAAAGATTAACCTCCGAGCCGTTACAAATGACTTTCAGTTTGCAGTTTGAGCTCGTCAGGTTACCGTAGTTCAGCCGTAACTCGCAAAACTTCCGGTGCAATTTCGCAGTTTACTCAGCCGTAGTTAATGACGCCATTTTAAAAATGTTTTCATTTCAGTGGCAGTTACCCCCAGAAGAAAAACACGGCGACATTTTTTTTATAATTAAAAGGTCAAACCCTAAGCTGACAGGAGTCAGTTTGGATTAAATGTTAAATGTAAAGTTAAATGTATGGAGGTATTTTGGCTAAACTAAAGGTTCCACTATGAAGGAATAGCACTTTACAGCAATTTATAGCAATATCTATATCAAGCTGCTGCATCAGCTGTTTGAATTTCATTGTAAAACATTCCTTATATGTTTATGCTACCCATTAATGTCAACAATTTTATACAAGAATATCACATTTTCAGGTATTTAATATCAGAAGTTTAAGCAGATGTGATTATAGGAGACAACCCTTCAATGTTTGGGGTAGCCTAAGTTAACCCCTAATGATAACTATGCTTGGTCACTCCAACAATAAAACAAAGTCTGTGCATGCCTGTCCTCCAACATGAATATAGTCTTTATTCTAATGTCTGTGGTGGAAAGGTAATTACAATTTACATCATTTTAGTACCCTTTTTTACAGGGTCTGTGAGAAACTTTTGGCTTGTGTCAATTTCGATGTCCCCGCGGACAAAGTCTTTTTTTATATTGTCTACCTCGTGTTCAGAAATTAAAAAGTTACATTTGATTAAATGTCAGGCTTGTTGATGTTTTTTATATATTTTTTTTCTTCCAAAAAGGCATTGATATTTTACTTTGAAAAGTGGACGCATACTTCCGGTCTCTGGCGAGTTGACGGTTTGCGCAAACTTCAAACGAAGTTGAAACAGCGGGGATGCAAACTTCAGCCTGGTTGAAACAGTTGTTCCTCGGTAGGCCTGCCTCTAACAGTGACTTTTGTGAAACACGTTGATTTAGGCATTGTTAGTTTGTGCTCTAAACTCCGTAACACAAGTTTTTGTTACAGGACCAAACGGAAAAGATGACGGATTTTTGATTTGACCTAGATTAGTTCTACTTAATGCGGGCGACCACAGGTGAGGCCGTCAGACAGATGACCAATGTTAATCTGTTGAGAAGGGTAATCCGAGGGTGTTAATCTGTTCACACTTACTTAAAGCTGGTTTGAACAGGGTCCAAGGGGTGGAGTATAACTGTCCTAATGTTACTCCAACTGCAGTAACGGAAGAAGTTACCTAAAACGGACTAACTAGATTGTTGGATATTTCTCCAACTGGGTTGATAAAACAGCATGTAAACTAAAATCCATCGTGTGTGGAAGCATGCGAGTCAAACGGAAATGTGAGCAAGCCCAGGAAACTTCACGGGTCACTTTTTCTTCAGCGGGAGGTGCCAACGGAGCGCCGCTCCTCGGGGCATGAAACCTCAGAGCACTTTTTTTTCTGTCTCTCACCGAAGAAGGAAGCGACACGATGGCACTTTGGGGGAGAAGGAGCCAAAGCAGGCTCATGGTTTTCATAGTTGGAGTCTTTGTGGTGGGATATCTCATACTCAACAGGCACAACTCCGGGGACGCAAGCACCGCTCATGAACGAGAGGCCCCCAGAGAAAGAGTAAGAGAGGTGGAGAATGAGGATCTGAAAAGACCCGTCTACGAGAAGCCCCCTTTGGATTTGAGCAGCCCGGGTGAGATGGGGAAAGCCGTCAGACTTAATCTGAAAGGAGAGGAGAAACAAAAGGAGGAGGAAAGCATCAGACTTCACAAGATTAACACTTATGTCAGTGATAGAGTGTCTCTACACCGCAGGCTGCCTGAGAGATGGAACCCACTGTGAGTAAATGTAACCATAAAATCATTTACTATCACTCCACTATGAAACTCCAGGGACTTCTATAATCTGTAGCTTTATCTCAAATCATGAAACATATTGTCTTAGTCTGTGCTCACTTCTACCCACTTATTTACTTCAGAGTGTTTGCTCAGTCAAACAAGCTGAAGCTCAAGGCAAACACCTTTTGCCAGATCATCAATGTGTATGTTCAGCGCTGTCTCACCTGCTCCCTTCGACAGGGAGCCATGTATTTAAACTTTTATTGCATTTTTGCTTTGAAAGGAAAATAAACACTAAGGAACTTTGTAGACCTGGATGGGTATTTCCGTCTTACACAGGCATGTAAACAGATAAGGAGGAACCAGTCCAAGGAGTTTTGTAAAGAAGAGTCAGCTCATACGAGGATGTACTTTAAACAGCCTTGTTATGCATTATGCAAGTGAATCTGGAAAAGTTTTTCAAGAATGTCCAATAAAAGTAAAATAACAATATCCTCCTCATATTGCAGCTGTAAGGACCTGAAGTATGACTACAGGTCCCTGCCGACAACCTCAGTGGTCATCGCCTTCTACAACGAGGCCTGGTCCACCCTGCTGAGGACGGTCCACAGTGTGCTGGAGACGTCGCCTGACATCCTGCTGAAGGAGGTGGTGCTGGTGGATGACTACAGCGACAGAGGTATCCGTGACTGATGGAGGGACACTGAGAAGGACAGATGTGTGGACAGGCAGAGGGCATGTGTAGGCCAGATTGACAGTTAGGACGGACAGAGAGGTTGACACGCGAGGAGGCACATGCAGGCAGGTGGCAGACGGATAGAAGGAGGGGGCGAGGAGAGAGTGATGTGTTCGCAATTAGGAGAGAGTCACGGGGAGGTAGTGACGGGCCGTGACACTCAGATGTAGATAAATGGGAAATTGAATACACATCCAGATAGACTCAGGCTGAAAGTTTCAAATTAGCTCAAGGGAGAGTCTCATACTAAGTGTAACAAGTTGCTGTCTTAAAATCTTTGGAAAGGAAATCCACAAAAATGAGGCTCATTTCTTGTTCTACATTTAAATATTAGTTCTGTAAATTAGTTCAGCTTTCTCAGTGTGTTGCTGATTGGACATTTGTTGTGTAAAGGGAGGGGTTAATGAGAACAGAAAACTGATCTGTCATCCTTTCAGCTTTTGTTTTTAGCACAATACTATAATTCTTATAGGTGTGGAAGCTTCCTTATTAACCTCCAAGCAGAAATCTAAACACGCTGTGCAAGGAGTCTTTCACAACGTCAACTGCTTTACGGGTGAGGTGGGTGTTGTCAGTGCTCAAGAGGGAGACAATGAGCTGTGTTCACTATGCGCTGCAGTGTTTTTCTGTTCTGTTCTGTGCAGCTCCAAAATATATCTATTGTACACTCAAAATTGGCCAAGGTGGTATATATTCTGTCAGTAAGCTCTAAAAGTGCTCTACTGGGAGCTCGAAAAGAACCTTTAGTATAGTTCAATGGATAAAATTAAGAATCGACAAGACTTTTGGCAAGGAATGTACCAATACCTGGAAAGAAATCCCTGAATCTACGAGCAAAGGATCAGGAAAACCGGAATGATGATGGTAATTGTGAGGAGGATGTCTTTTCTGTGAAGTAGTTCATTGATAAAACTTGTATGTGGTTCCATTTAAAGCTGTTGGAACCAAGATTTAGTATTTGAACGAATAAATGAATGAATTTATTTCGAATATGTATGCAAGGAAATAAAATAATCAAAAAATGTCATTTACATGCAAACAAGGAAAAAAAAAGAAATGAATTCTACACGTTCGAAAAGGAGAAGGATGAAGTAAATACTTTTTAAATTCCTACCTCTTGTTACTTCTATTTGAAGACCTGATGTTTGATCCAAGTGTAGTAACTGTGCTGAAAACACTTAAAAAACAATTTCTTTTCTTCGGAGTGAGAATTACACTCTACAGTCAAAAGCTAAAAGCAGATTGTAACTATCATGTTTGTAAAGCCGATCTTTTCTTGTTGGTTTCCTGCAGATCATTTGAAAGAGCCGTTGGAATGGTACTTTGCAGATCTAAAGAAGGTGCACCTGGTCCGAACGACCAAGAGGGAGGGGCTGGTGCGGGCCCGGTTGCTAGGGGCGTCTTATACCACGGGCGATGTGCTGACCTTTCTGGACTGTCACTGTGAATGTCACGAAGGCTGGTTGGAGCCGCTGCTTCACAGGTTAGAAAGCCATCAGGGGGAGAATTTAAGGACTCTTTGAGTATTTTCTCAGAGTGTGACCTTGTAGTTTAAAGACTATCTTTTTAGTCCTGCTGAAGTGTCATTGTGTGTGAGGCACTGAATAATAATTCCAGTCTGGGCTCAGTGTGCTTGAAGAAAGTGAAATTGTAAAACTTGACTCCAGAAATGATTCTTTTGTGTGTGTCTTAGCAGACTTTCTCTTCTTTTCTTCCCTAGAATCAAAGAGAAGCCATCAGCTGTGGTTTGTCCAGTCATCGATGTGATCGACTGGAACACTTTTGAGTATTTGGGCAACTCTGGTGAACCACAGATCGGAGGATTCGATTGGCGCTTGGTGTTTACCTGGCACTCAGTTCCAAAATCGGAACAGAAACGCCGCCGCTCACCTGTTGACGTCATCAGGTATGTGGGCGGGATCCCCTCATAGACTGTATATAGAATGGACAGAGTCTGCCTCCTCGCTGGGTGAAGCCACTCTGAGAACAGCACCCTCTGTTGGCTGAGTGCAGTATAGGTCATAAATCCCGCCTCCGCCAGCAAAGCTTATGGGACTGTGGACAAACTTTAGAAATTTATTACACAGAACATAATTTTTCTCCCCCCGGTTGTAATGTTGACATGTAGTTATTGTAAGACTGGTTTGTGCTCAAGTCCTTTTTTTCAGTGCAGCTCCGTTTTCAAAAGTTATTATGGGGTTAATGTTTTCTTTGATTGACACCCGGTACAGCCTATGGGCGTTCAGGGATTGCGTAGCTCTCCCGGGGGGATACGCTGTTTGTCCTGAGCGTCATCACAGTGACTCTCGGCGACTGCGCGGCGGAATGCGTGCATCGCTACTGCGCAGCTCTGGTTTCAAGGAAGTGGAGAAAGACCCGGAATTACCGAGAGCTTTTTGGCTTCAAATCCATATACAGGCGGAAGGTGGAACCAGGTTGTCCATAGTATATACAGTCTATGGATCCCCTCTATTAACGTCACAGAACAGACCGTACTTAAGTACTTCCATCACTGTTGTTGCACTCTAAAATTTCAAGATGTGTTTCAAACAGTTGTCTTTTTTTCTCTCCAGGTCTCCCACCATGGCAGGTGGTCTATTTGCTGTCAAGAAGAACTACTTTCATTACCTTGGGACTTATGACACAGGGATGGAGGTGTGGGGTGGAGAGAACCTGGAATTTTCCTTCAGGGTAAATAATTACATGTTCATATTAAACCCGTTTGTCATGACTGAGAGGCTGATCATGCTCTTGTGGTTTTGGTGGTATTTTTTTATGTCTTATAGATTTGGCAGTGTGGGGGCAGCTTGGAGATTCACCCATGCTCCCATGTGGGTCATGTATTCCCAAAAGGAGCCCCTTACTCACGGAGCAAAGCTCTGGCAAACAGTGTGAGAGCTGCAGAGGTTTGGTTGGATGAATACAGAGAGATCTACTACCATCGAAGCCCCCACGCACGACTGGTGAGTCATCAGAGGTGGTATGTGTGCGCAAATGTGTACGTGCAAGAAGCATCAAACACATCCAAGATGTATTTTAAAGCAAACTTCATAATTATGTCTTTTATGTGAGATTTTAGAGGGAAGTGGGTTTTTTTCCCACTGCTGTAGTCACAAAACTGAAAGGCTGATTAATCTCTTGATTCAACACAATGTAAACACTCTCAGTCATACCCACACAGATGCACTCTCAGCTCACACACACACACACACACACACACACACACACACAGTGACTGCGCTCCTGCTGTGGTGCAAAATCTCCCCTGATTAAGTGACACTCGGGATACATGAGCGGCAGACACTCGAGGTGATGGGTGTCAGGGCGTTCCGGTGTGTGGTTACCACCTTTCCGTGTCACTCGTTGCCAACAGTTGTCACCCACCTGTCCTGAGAGCAGGGAACCCACAGGGTGTCCTGTCTTTGTGCGCATGCATTGAGAGGGCCTGTGTGTGACAGTGTAGTTAAGTGGGGAGCTCTCTGACACAGATCAGGCGGTATTCATCTCCATGAAAGAGTAACACATCCATCCTTATACACCAAAGCTTTGTTTTTTTTTTAATTCAGACCAGGTAGAGGAGGAATAGGGTGTGTGTATTCATGTGTGTCTGAAAAGCCGAGGGACAGAATATGCATAAAGAGAGAGAGGGGTAGAAATGACAAAATATGTTAGAGCTGCAGCCTGTGATATGACATAAGCTCGAATCTTTCAGCTTTCAATAACACTGTGTAAAAATACTTGACTATAAGTAGAACCTAGTGTTTAATTGAATGAATATTATCACCTAAAGAAAGTCAAAGCTCTTAAAGATGTCGATTTATTTTCACTCTAATCTCAGACCCAACACTTGCATTTCTGTTGTATTTACCCATTTACATCAATCAACCGAACAGCTGTTTTGATCACCTTTAAGGCACCCGGTTAAAGCCACTTATGTACCAAAAAGACAAACATATCTCTAACTAACTGGCACCTCTGGCCTTTTGAGTGGATCAGATTGACCTCTAGTTGTCCTTTTAAGCACTTTTTGTGGCCTCATTCATCCACACACTGGAATTGTAATTGCAGTACTAGTCACTCACTCTTAATTTGCATTTTAGTGGCACTTGCACTGATCATTAGTTTTGCCTTGCTTGTATCGCACAGTAGCACACAGCTCGTCCTTTTGTTGGTCCTCCCCGATCTCCTCTATCGATGGCAGACTCTCCTGCTCCTGACTTCCTGACTGAATAAATTGATGATGAATTAAGGCTGCTGGAGTCAAACCACGAGCATCAATCATTCAGCAGTACCGCTGAGCCCACAGCAAATAAAACTAGAGACTTTGCTCCTCGCTGTCCTGTAACTCACTAATCATGATCACCCTCACACACACACACGCGCGTGTGTATGTGTAGCCTTAAGGTGTTTACTCAAGCAGGTGTACTGTTTGGGGATACAACAATGTGTGCCCACAGACGTCTGTCAAACACCTTGGTGGATCCTCTTGATCTTTCCTGAACAGGATGTTGAAGCAGCATTGTGTTTGAAGGACTGTAACTGTGTACTCGTAACAGTGTACATGCATTAACTGTAGATGGTGCTGTTGTGTGCCATTTCAGCACAAATTCATGCTGTAAATCCACTGCAGTAGAAAGAGCGTCAACATTTAAGGGCCTTTAATTCATCACATATTGAGTTGAGTAACGCTGTGGTGTAAATTCTTGCTGTAATTGAATCTCAGGGCTCTCAGGCTAAAAGTTAGGCACAGTTTTTATTTTCTGTCTTTCTTTTTTTCCAGGAAGCCTATGGAGATGTGTCAGAGCGACTGGAGCTGAAAAAAAAGCTGGGCTGTAAGAGCTTCAAGTGGTACCTGGAAAATATTTTTCCAGAAATCAGCGTCCCAGAGGATCACCCAGGCATGTTTGGGATGGTGAGAGCACAACTGGACGACTGTTTATCAGTTTAAATGTGCCTACTGTCTCCACTTTGATTGGATATCAGTTTTCTAATGATGGGACCCTTTTTTGGTTGCTGTAGCTGAAAAGTCGGGGCAAGAGCGACTACTGTTTTGACTACAACCCATCCAATGAGAACCAGCCATTCGGCCAGAGGGTCATCCTTTATAGTTGTCACGGCATGGGTCAGAACCAGGTAATGGAGAATCGCTTTAATAAGCCATGGAACAAAAAATGTATGTGCTTCATCACAGTTTGTTGTGCTTGAAATGATTTTCTAAAACGCCTGTACACTGTGAACAATGCACCGCCTTCAACCTCAGCAGGTGTTTGTGTTTCATCCTGTTCTGTGCCTCTGTTCCGGGTTCACACTAGTCACTATTTCTGTCTATTTACTTTAGGTTGATATTCGAAAATATTCCCCGCTGTGCCCTCGGACTTGATACTAAAAATTTATCAGGGGTCTGGCAGTAAAAATTTAAGGGGAAAGTTGCTTTGCCTATTTGTATGGAAGCGTATTGCATTCACCAAAAAAAAAAAAAGCTCTGTTTTTAAGAGTAACTTTTTCTGTTCTTCAGACTAATTTTTTTTCTGTTTTTCAGAGTAATTCTTTTTTTCTTTTTCTATTTTTTTGTTTTGTTTTTCAGACTAATTGTTTTTCTGATTCTGATTTAAAAACAGACACTTTCATCCCCCTCTGCTCGATTCATTAGAAGCAAACATGGCCCACTTGTTGAGTTTAATCAAGTTTTACTTTCTCCTGGGTTTCAGACACTGGGAGATACTCCTTTCTTTAAGTCAGATAGATGGAATCATCACAAGTTTGTCTACTTTGCACAGGCACCTCAGGATTTGCATACCCTATGTTTAACTAACAACATGCTTTACTCTAATTGACCCCATAGTCGAAGTTATGGAGGAGCCGGAGAATCCGCTGATTTGGAGCAGCTGTGGTGGTTAACGTTATCGGATTGTATGAGATTCTTGCAGGATTTTGAAGTATCTTGTTTAGTCAGGAAAAAAAAAATAGTCTGAAAAACAGAAAGACAAAAAAAAGTACAAAAAACGGAAAAAAATTGCCAGAAAAACAGGAGAAGTGGGACAAAATATTAGTAAAAAAAAACAGAAGAAAAAAATATTTAGAAAAACAGAAGAAAAAAAAATAGTCAGAAAAACAGAGACCAAAAAAAAGTACAAAAAATGGAAAAAAATTGCCAGAAAAACAGGAGAAGTGGGACAAAATATTAGTAAAAAAAAAACAGAAGAAAAAAATATTTAGAAAAACAGAAAGAAGAAGAAAAAAGTAGTCATAAAAACAGCACAAAAAAAAAAAAAAACAGTTTCCTTTTTTTTGTAAGTGAATGCAATACGCTTTTGTATATATGCTCACACACATGTAAAGAAATTTTAAGAAGTTTTGCACATATGTGAATACAGCTTATATTAGCTGTGAAGCCCCAATTAAAAGTGGAAAAGTTGGACCAGTTCACCAGAAGTACATTTATTTAAGTGACACTGATATCTAATGAAGTTTAATTCTATTTACGCTCATTTTTTGTCTGTCTTTTGATTCTGCAGGAGTGAGTAGCCAGGTAGTTAGGTTCTTCACCTCAGCTCTGTGCGTATTTTCGTTAGTTAGTTTCTTTTACCTGATAATAGGCTGTCTATTCACCTGAGACACCTGTAATCATGATCACCGACAGCTGCCCAGACTCATTCAAAGGATGATGAATCATCTCAGTTCACAGTTAGCCACACGGTTAGAAGTTTGAGTCTGACAAATCTGTGAATAATGGGCCGACTCGCTTTTCCTGGGCCGTTAAACGATTCGCTTACCTTTATACTCAGCGGTTGACAGAAAGAGCTGTGAAATTTACCACTGTGGTTTCAGCAGCCCTCTGTGGACACACGCTGATATTGTCTCTGTAGAAAGTTGGCTCAGCAGCACTTGTGCTGTCTGTCTGCCTCAAAAATATTCACCTCACACGTTCATTCATAGTCTGCGCACACATCAGCAGCAGCAGCCTGTGCGTTTGTGTGTGGGCGAACTCCGACATGCACATGGAAGTCTCTCAGAACACGCCGTTACTCTCAGTGTTACAGTTTCATTTGCCAGATGTTTGCTACAAAGCAGTGCACATCTGAGAGGATGTAAAACACAAGCTAGGATCTAGAGAGGGGGAACGACATCAGTAAAGAACCACAAAGTGCCTCAAGAACAAGAACACTGTGTCCTTTCGCAGTGATGCCGCCTATCCTTTCCCTCTGAGTCACACAGATCCATGTATTTATTCATATGCAGCAGGCACCCATTCTTCTACACAGACAGACATGCTTTTGAGGAGTCTGTCCACCACTTTGAAGTCAAGTGTTTCTCTTGATCCCACTGCATGACAAATCCTTGATCAGGGAAATTCTTTGTTTTTGTGTCCTGCAGTTCTTTGAACACACTCCAGATGGTGAGATCCGCTATAACACAAGAGAGCCAGCTGGATGCATTACAGGTGACAACATCAGCACCTACCTGACGGTCCAGAAGTGTAGGAAGAAAGGGGAACCTGTACCTGCAGACCAGAAATTTGTCTTACGGAAGGTATTATTTATCTATTTTAACTTTCAGTTGCATTTGTTTAGCCTAGATTTGACCAAAAAGGTGTTGTCTGGGTCATCTATGAGATATCTTAATTGAGGTTCACAAGTTTGCCTCTCTGAGTGTCTTTTGAGTGCATTGAGAGGAGTCAGATGAGGTGGCTTGGGGATCTAATCAGGATGCCTCTAGGACGCCTCGCTGGTGAGGTGTTCAGGGCACGTCTCACTGGTAGGAGACAACAGGGAAGACCCAGGACATGCTGGAGAGACTATGTTTCTCAGCTGGCCTGGGAACTCCTCGGGGTCCCCCCAGGGAGAGCTGGACGAAGTGGCTGGGGCAAGGGGGGCCCCCGCGACCCGACTCTGGATAAGCGGCTGAAGATGGATGGATGTATGGAGTAACTTTTTGTAGTACCAGATGTCCTTTGTAACTTTTCAGGCTACTTATGAGGCAGACCCCATTTTTCTCCACCAACCAAGAAGGTCATTGCGTATGCCTTAATTATCATATACATGCACAAGGCAACCGAATACTGATTTGGATGTTGTTTACCATGGTAACGGTAGATGCTAAGAAGCATTCAGGTCACAGCTTCCTAATTCCGAAATGTGAATCCCAGCAAACTAGCGGGCTGTGATTCATCATGCAGATTCTGCAGGTTGTTTAGCATGTGCTGAGTATCGTCACACCACACTAATATCAGCCACGCTTTCAAAATGTAAATGGACCCAAGAGGGATAGGATGGTTTAAACAAGGGCAGAGGGAACAGGAGAGAAGGGAGGAAAAGTGACCTAACATGCAGAAAAGGGCAGATAAGCTTTAGTGCCATTAAATTAGGCTGTTTGAGATAAGATGGGGTATGAAAATTAAACCGATAATATCACTTTTATGATACTTTTTCATGTGTTTCTAGGACGGGGTGCTGTTTCATGATGGGAGCCAGAAATGTGTCCAGGCTATGGACAGGACAGACGACGGGAAACCGGCCCCCTCACTCCAGCCCTGCTCTGACAGCCCCCTCCAGAAGTGGTTCTTTCAGGAGAAGACATAATGGTATCAACGCAGAAAAAGTCCACAATGGTTCTTCACTCAGATTCTGAGGATTCTGGTTGAACCTTAAAGGAGTACGAAAGAGGCGGGGTTTCTGCTTCACTCCAAACGTAAACACTCGCATATGTTTGTGCCAGCTGGATTTTATGGAACAGGAGTAAATTATATAGATAGTCATGATAATCAAATCAAATCAAATTTTATTTACATAGCGCCAGTTCACAACAGTCGTCATCTCAAGATGCTTTTTAAAGAACAAGAGCAGTTCTAGACCACGCTCATTGTTTGATGATCAAGAACCAACCTAAGATCAAGTAATCAAGAACCATGTTAATATATTTGAAGGATGTTTCTTTGCTATTTGAGACTATTAATGGGAGGCAGGGGCTCACAGGGATATTTCTGCTATTTCTAATCAACAGGATGCCACGTCTCAGTGCGGAATATTTACCAAATGGCTGAGTGACTTCTGTTCATGAACAGAGCCACCTTAGGTTTACACATCCTCCTGTAGAGGGGGCTAACGCGCCTCGTTACAGGTTTCTTCCCTTTCACTGCGTTCTCTATTTGTCAAAGGAAAGTGGGGCAAATCTTCAGGTGTTTTGTAAAGAATATTTCAGGAGTGCTTGCCACTCTTACGCACACAGGCTTATAAGAAAGCCTCAGATCACAGGCATTATGCAAGTGCTTAGTACCTCTTCAACTTAATCACTGTACTACTGATAACAGCAGAAACTCCAGTCTTATTTCAGCCTTCCTCGAATGAAGTAATTTTGCAATGCAAATTCGGCTGAAGTAAAATGACATGGGCCAGTCTGCAAGTTTTGACATTTTCCTCTTCTTTTTCATGTTGTGAAAGTTGCTAAGCTTTAAATGACTCGCCATATTTGTGGACTTACTTCATGTGGAAACCTCAAATAATGAATTTTCAGATAATACTACATTATTATTGCTCCAATGTAGTCTCATCCCAACTAGAGTCCATGATACTTTCGACATATTCACCTTAAAGGGATATTCTGGCGTAAATCTAAGCAATGATCAAACACACCGAAACACCGAGTTAGACACTCCCCGAGAGATGAATGTTGCTGACCACTTGCTTCTCTAGTTATAGCAACTTTAGTAACGACCGCAGGATCGCAATGCACAGTGGTCTATGGATCCACGTGCAAACCTTAACCAAAAAGCCACTCTATAGCCACAAATAATGCTTAGAGCAGCAGCTAACTTCATCAACAGTACATATAGGGTCCCAGCCATAGTACTAGCCATCAAACATCTTTTTAGCTTTGCCTTATTTCTTTGGCAAAGAGACTAAACACAACTCACCCACTCTCTTCCAGCAGCCGGTGGTTTGTGTGGGAGCCCTGGCGAGTCAATTACTGAGTGCAGCGGAGTTTCGCAGCTCAAGGAAGAACATTTATAATTATTACCTAATGTAAATGCAATCAGAGTTCTTGTATATCTTGTATGTCAGTTTATAAATGTTATTATCGAGGGCCGGCCAGGAAATGAGCGCAGATGAGCATAACATTTTTAACTTCACAAATATTTGTGGGGGAACTCCTGAAACAAAAGCAAGATTTTGCGTTAAGTCGAACGCGATTGTTTATCTCATGAAGAGTAGGGAAACAGCACGAAGGTGAAGAAGAGAAGTTATTCAAAACATACAAGATACACAAGAACTCTGCAAATTTGCATTGCATTTCCATCAAGTAATAATCATAAATTTTCTTCCTTGAGCTGCGAAACGCCGCTGCACTCGGTGATCGACTTGTCTGGGCTCCCCCACAAACTAGCAGCTGCTGAAGGAGAGTGGATGAGTTGTGTTTAGTCTCTTAGCTAAAGAAACAAGACAAGGCTAAAAAGATGTTTGATGGCTAGTACTATGGCTGGGACCCTATATGTACTGTTGATGAAGTTAGGTGCTGTTCTGAGCATTATTTGTGGCTATAAAGTGGCTTTTTGGTTGAGGTTTGCGTGTGGATCCATAGATCGCTGTGTATTGCTATCGCTCGGTCATTACTTAAGTTTGTATAACTAGAGGAGTAAGCAGTTGGCGACATTTACCTTTGTAGGGGGTGTCTAACTCTGTGTTACGGTGTTGTTGTTGTTACTTAACTTTACACCGGAATATCCCTTTAAAGTAGTTATTTGTGCAGTTTTAACACTAAAATTACAAGATTTGGCTCCTGTTCTGTTGCTTTATCCACTCAGATGCCATTAAAAGTGCCTCATATGCAAAAAAGATTTAATTTAGGAGGCTTTTGTATTGAATCTTTATTTTGCCAGCCAATGATACAAAAAGAAAACAGCTCCCAGAGTTGTACGAAAGCATCTGCACACCTATAAAATGCACCCTCCCCTGCTGTGCATCCAGAATGTACGGCCAAGAAAGTGCTCCCTGGAGTGTTCATACATTACTCTGGTGGGCTGTGCTGATTCGGGCACACCATATCTCTGTTTCCATCCATCAGAACCGGATAACTATAGATCCCTCTGCTCCTGGCTGCGGTCACTTGTAGCTATCCCTTAGGCTGTGTAGAGTCGCCGAGGGGGGGAACAGCGGAGGCGTCGACAGTTGTTGGCTTCTCCAGAGTGCCGGGATGCCAGATGGCTTCCTGATTGATTTTCTGGTCCTCTCCCAATTCTTTATCAGCACCTCTCCTCTTTCGGTGTCAGAGGGGTGCAGAGGAGGACTTATCTTCTGGACTCACTCCAGCCAAATCCTCCTCACATGAGCCGTCGTTACTCATGGGCTTGAGGTGTGATTTATGGATCGAAGTCTACAGGAGTACAGTTTTTGACAGCACGGGTAGATAATGGAGGAGACTGAATGAAGCAATTTGTGACCTCTTCCTTGCCATTAACCTTCACAGGCTGCTGGCTCATCGGCCCCAAAGGAGCTCTGTTAGGAATTGATGCCCGCAGACGATCGTACCTCTATAGATTTTTCCTATTGATTTCTGAATGTAAACTCACAATAAGATGAATTGGTGGTGAAAAAGACGGTTTCACCATCACCACAGTCCAGACTTTGTTGAACCAGGATCCTTCTTTTTGCCAAATATAACAAATGTACAGTCAAGTGTACTGTAGTGATGCTGCAGCTACGCAATCACATCGGAGGACATGAAACGAGCTTTAAGAAACGGCACCAGACGCGGGTTTATTATGTACCGTCGCTGTACGGTTAAAGAACTGGAGGCTAAAATAAGAGCAGAAGACAGTCCAGTATGACCATCATTGATGGTGTTAGCAATCCCAACTGTCCTAAAAGGATTTAGCAATGATTACGAGAGGTGTATTGTTGTACGGACAATACTAAAGGGAACTTTTCTCTAAATTGAAAGAATGAATTTGCAAATGGAAATGCCAAAAGAGGCAAACTGTGAACTAAGGCTGCAGTATCATACCTGCATTGATAATAAAATGTGCTACAAAACAAGTAAAAGGTAAGGCACCCAGAGTTCATAGCGATAGTCCTCTACCCTGGTTGCCATAGGAGAGACGAAGAGGAAGGAGCAGCTGATAGCAAGCTAGCTGTGGCAGCCCTCTGAGAGTTAAAAGGCACTTTTTAAACAAACAGATATTCAGGATAGTAGTGAATCCATAAACAGCATCAGCCTCTTTAAATAACAGTTGAACATTTACACTCTCTGACTGTTCAATCTTGTATTATCTTGTATACAAAAAAATCAAAAATATTTCTATTGGGTACTTCCACAGCTCTGGAGTAAACAACAAACCTTTTTTTGTTTTTTTTGTTTGTTTTTTTTTTACATGCATAAACTCTTTAATCTGTGGTTAAGGGTGGTTAATTTATTGTCTCCATTACCGTTTGTTATTCCACTCATGTAAAATATGTTTGCACCTTTTTTACGCTGTATGCTGACACGATATGGTTCATGAAGCTGCAGTGAAATTGAAAGCTGTGATCATATCTGTCTGCTCGGTTATTTAGGGGTTTTATGTCAACCACCAAGTGTCGTAAACTTGTGATACTCCAGGAGTCTGCATTGAAGCCCTTAAACCAGGAGAGCGGCTCATTACACTGTCTCCAAACCCCGAAACGGAGGAGATTTTTCAGTTATTGAAATGGGAAACACGTACAACAATGATGGAATTGAACATGATGTTTGGTGTATAGATACTACAGCAGAAGCAAGTGGCCTTATCATGTATAAAAATGAAGAATATTTTTGTATTTGATCCTGAAAAGGATCATGTGGATGTCTGGTGTTAATGTATCTGATCAACTGTCAAAAAAGTAAAAATATAAAGTTGGATTTTCTCTTTTTCTTTTTGCCTTCTGATTTTAATGTTTGTCTTGCCTCCTAAATGTAAAAACTGGCAGGTTTATTCATGAAAAATATCTCACAAATCAAATGTTTTGCATCTCCATTTCATGGTGACTCTAAATGCAGAAAAAAAACTAGGTTATCATCCGTGTTAAACTGTGATGGAGATATGAATCTAGATACTTGGAGGGTAATGAAAGAAGAAAATGAGGAATAGAAAGCGGAGAGAGAGTTTGCCAAGCGTATCTGATTGGTTTGATCACCAGCTGCTGTGTTAGATGTTGAAATGTCGTGGCCGCGCCAAGTCACTCTGTTCCCCCTGGTGTTGATGCTCTGCCCTGCAGTCTCTCCCAATTACTCACTGATGATGCTCTGCTGTTTGTTTCGTAGGATCCTCAAAGTGAACAGGCCAAGCAAAGGTGACAGAGGCATGCTGGATACAAGCTCTTTACTGTGGAGTAGCAAAACAAACCTATATTCAATGTGAGTGCATCTTCAAATTTCAAACGATTTGTACTCTGCATGAGACAAGCTGTGTCCCTCTCGCACAGGATGACATGCTCTGAAGGAAAACTTGTCAGAAAATCTTCCTATTCTGACAAACTCGGCTGCTTCTTAAAAAAATGAGAGGCGCTGCAGACGGCTGTGACGCTGCTGTCTCCAGAACTGCTCATCCCTAATCTTTTTCACGCTCCCCTGTGAGAAAGGCAGAGCAAAGCAGCGCTATAAAATATCCTAAACTTGGTAAATGCATCCACAGAAACGTTGCTACAATCTCTGTGCACAGCATGCTCGTCGTTTTTGATCTGCTGTGGCATACATACAGCACCTCTGCCTCCTTCAGCCCATATGTGTCTTTAATGATAATGCAAAACAAGACTCCCCGTGGTGCAGGTCTTTGGAGATGCTCAAGCTTCAGTTGTCAGGGAATGAGAGGAGGAGCTGCACACACTCACACACACACACGCACGCACACACACACTGACAGAAGGCCATTTCTACACTGCATGTCTGTTCGCTTTATGTAATCCCCAATACCCACAACAGCTCAGGAGCAGTGACTGTTGGCTGCATACATTAGGTGACACACTTTTCGCTTTCAGGAGGGACTCCAGACGGTGCAGTAAACATGTGAGGCCCAGATACAGAGAGAGCATCGCTTTTCATATGCAGCGTCACAGCTGGGCATCACGCAGAGAAGACGGCACTGAAGTCACTCAGTCATTTGGTAAATTTGTCAAAAGAGCCATAAATGAATATCCCACAGTTTATCAGATGCGTCTGATTAATGTCCCACTGTTTACTTGCTGAACCATAAGTCTCATTTCCAACTTGTAAGAAATTTACTCAAGTTGTATTTTTCAGGCAGGAAGAAAAGACATGTAGAGCTGAGCTTGTCGGCTTGGGGTGTCCCAGTACAACTTTGATACTTCCGATACAATGCCGATATTGTAGCCTTCAGTATCGTACGATATCGATATTGATCCGATATTGGCGCAAACTTGTGCATGACAAGTTTTGCACTCAGCTGTAACGTTTTTTTCAGAATTAGATGAAAAATACTGCCATACGGCCAACATCACTCCTACTCCTTGCTACTTTGTTAGTACCTTAGTACACGCAGTTGTTGTGATTGCGTGGTCTTTGCATGCTGGATCTGGGCACTGCTAGATAGAGGTGCTGGTGTAGAGTCTGGAATGGACTGCTTGTAGTGCTGGAATCTGAGATTTTAGATGTTGGCCAATATTATCCAATATTTGTTTTTTGCTGATATTGGATCGATGTCAATATCAGATTAGGACATCCCTACTGTCAACTACAGACGTAAAGAAGAGCAACTGTGAAGAGGCAAACTAATTTTTGTAGGAGATTTATTTTACTCATCACTGGATGCCTCCTCTGTGGGGACCTTAAGGACTTCGAGTTCATTGATGGTTTGCAATTTTTGCAAAACATGAAAAATACTATTTTTCATTGATGGAAAAATTCTTGCTTGTCTGAATCATTCCAGGAGTGGATATTCCCCTTTGCCTGTCAAGGTTACTGCTGGTAATACTCTTTTCAATCAGACCCACCGCTGCTGTCACAGTGAAGTACACTGTATCTTTGTTGGTGTCATCAATGGACCGGTCCATGATAGTGAGTTACTCTCTACTCACTTGAAAATGTTGCAGAGATGATTCTGACTCTGTTGTACACTAAGGCGGTGATTTAATATCTGCTGACATGCTTGTTTTCTCCCTGATATGATTTCGTCACGTCTGAGACACTCACTGAATCCATCTCAAGCTTAAACTGTACAAAAGCATGGATGATACAACAGCTCTCCCAAAGTGAAGCTGAAACTTCCCCAGCTCCCCATGGTGACTGGGTGTAATTTGCACAGTTTACTGGTGTTGAAAAATAAATAGAATCTTTAAGTGTTTAAAACTGCAGTTCCTTATCTGTCCACTGGAAGCTGGCTGCAAAGGCCCTGGTGACTGCATTAATACTGTGTTAAAACATCTGTTTTCACAGTAGAAGTGGGAATGTTTATGGCATGGTGCAAGCAATTTTGAGGTCTGAATAACCCATGTATGGTCGAAAAACAGACTCAGTTTGCAACATAACATAACTTTATAATCTTTATCATAACTTTAACATAACTAGATTGTGTATATGCTTCAAGTGGCCTGAGTGTTCTGCTTAGCAAGTTAGCTTCGGCAGCCCTCTGGGAGACTGTTTAGCACCTTTAAAAACTAACATTCAAAGGGTTAAGCATAATTTTATTGCCAGAGAATTAACTTTCTAGCTGTCCTTTTAACTGTTTTCTTTGGTTCAAAATCTTACAAATAGTGTCTTTCAAAATAAAAGCAGATTTTTGCCAAGCAAGAAATAATGCAACCCAAACAAGAGATAGGAAAATGTCAAAATAAAAGCATGAGAAACAATTGTTTTATGATGCAATGTCCCTCCGGAGAAGTGTCAGTCACAGAGCTGATGATGTTGATTATGAATTTGAAAATCATTAAAAATGGCCAATAACAGGTCAGTTAATTGTGTTTACTACTTAGGTTCATGAAGAAATTGAGTTTTGCCTTCCTTCAGTTTTACTGATTGTGTTTCATTTTCAAGTTCTCTGTAAATATCGTGATCTTTTGTAGCAGTTCTGCTGTTGTATGGTGCTCCAACACCAGCAGAGCACAGGCCTTGTGGAGTGTGTGTTACGACTCTGCTGGTGTATTTAATGATAAGAAGCATTTTTATGCAGAGAGAAAAAATATCACACTTGCTGCAGTCTGCCACTCTTCACTCACCCACAGCAAATGGACATGTTGGAGGGTGGAAATCTGAAAATATTTCACTTCCAATTTAGATTATATAATTTGGTATAGGAAAGGAAACAATACAACAGTTTCTCCATTTTTGCACCTTCTTGCTGAGATTCTGTCAGTTCTCCTCTGCAGTTCTTCCATACTCCATACTGTATTTGCGTTCCTTCTCAGATGCAGTGTTGAAAACCTGTCGAAGACTAACTCGGATTTGGCAGAATTTCTGTACTTTAGTTTGCTGAAGAGAACACGAGAGTCACATTGATTCACACCACAGCAGACTGCGATTTTTCACAGCCTCCCCCAGCATAGCCTACATTGACAGAATTCCTCTTTAATGTGTTCCTACGAGATAAAATGCTTCCACAGGCGATTAACCATTCCACCCCTCTCCCATTCATTTCACTTCATCAGATTACTTGATTGCTTGCTAAATGGACTGCCTCTCTCCCCCCAGGGAAATACACTGTATGTATTTCCTCGGACAAAATGAGATATGCTGGATTTATTTCTCCTCACATACTGTGTTTTTTAGACATTCGATCAGCCTTGGTTTGGTTTAGTTCAGTCAAGTGTACCTCAGGTCCAGAGATATTATTAATCCTTTCCAAAACATATTTTATATTCTGGTCTACATAGTGGCCCTGAGCTGTTTTAGACTTTCAGGCTGTGAATAGTGAAATTGGAAAAGTATCAGTGTGGCTTACAAATGATGTCGAGTGAATTAAAAGAGGTTTCTCTTCGAGTGTTGCACATATTACCTCCTGCAACCAGGTTGTAACCACTGAGACTGTTAGCTCCCTGAAGACCACCTGCTGTTAATTTGGTACATGTATTAAAGGAACAGCTTGACATTTTGAGAGGTATCTCTTTTTTATGTCATACTATGAATTTACTAAATTAACTGTTCCACTGAATTTATGCTGAATGCAACCAAGCCACAGTTTGGCATGGCATAAAATGAATGGAAACTGCGAGCATAGAGCTAGTCAAATTATTATTTTGCACCCAATTTCAAATTACAAACACACTTATTGTACATATTTGTTTGTTCTGATCATAGACTGTATATAGAATGGACGCTGTCTGCCTCCTTGCTGGGTGAAGCCACTGCGAGAACAGCACCCTCTAGTGACGGGCTGCAGTATAGGTCATAAATCCCTCCTCCCTCAGCAATCCCTATGGAGCTGTGGACAAACTTTAGAAATTTATTACACAGAATATATTTTTTTCTCCCCCCTGCTTGCGGTGTTGACATGTAGTTACTGTAAGACTGGTTTGTGCTCAAGTCCTCTTTTTTTCTGTGCAGCTCCATTTTTCAAAGTTATTAGGGGGTTCATGTTTTATATGAATAACCCCTATGGGCGAACGAAGATTGCGTAGCTCACCCGGGGGATATGCTGTTTGAGTCGAGTGTCATCACAGCCACTCTCGGCGACTCTCCCACCGAATGCGTACAGCGCTACTGTACAAGTGGTTGTTCCAGGAAGTGGAGAAAGTCTCAGTAATCCTGAAAGCAATTCGGCTTCAAATTTGTATCATGACTGTAGGCAGAACCAAGTTGTCCATAGTATATACAGTCTATGGTTCTGAGCTACTGTAGAAACATGGCGGTGCAAGATGGTGGCCTCTGTAAAACACTTATTTGTGAGTAACAGAACAAGAAGATTTTTGTATTTAGATAATTTTTTAGATTTTTTACCCCATTTCTACCAAGTCTGCTCTGCTTAAAGCTTCACGCTGCACTGCAACAAATAAACAACCCTTAAATAATTAAGCTTTGTTTTTACAAATGTTGCTTACAGGACTACTTTCTGTCTGGGAACAGTAACTTCTCCAGATGCCTTGTTGATCCCGTTACGACTTAGCCTAACTTAAACAGCACCAGGCAAGCAGCTGCGATACAAGATGCCATCTGTCATTGGTGTTTGCTTAGGTCCAGGTCGTAAAGCATTGTTGCATTTTGGTTGTAGTCATTTAATAGAGATACAGCTTTGGGTATAGTTAGGATGTATTATCCATCCCTGATCCAGATTTTTGTTAAACAAGTTGAAAGAGTAATGTTTGGCCATGATGTTTAACGTCTTCAGATACGCTGGAGAGATAATGTGTTGAGTTCATGTGAGTATTTGCTGCATGTGTTGTTTCCAGACACGGCTCAGATATGGTTGAGTGATGTCTGCTTGCTGTTTCCTCATCCCTGTCCCCGGAGATGTAATATGTCCTACACCTTGATGTGCTCCTGATTTGCGGTGCTAAAGACATTGACATTGCTATTCACAGTGTAAGATTAAATTGAATTCTGCCTTCTCTTGAGGGCCTTTTTCACTTTAGGGGGGCAGTGATGCAGGGCAAATGAACAGATCCCTTGCTGTCTGGGTGTAGTCATGTGTGAATTAAACGCCTCATCACTCTGCAGAAACAGCGTCAGCTTTGTAAGTTAATTGTGATCGTGTTGCACGTTAAAAGTGTACACACAAGCGCGGGTCTATCAAACAAAATACAACCTGACACACCAGTTTAAGACGTCTATTGTCAATTCTTTATTATAATCGGCAACATATTCTAAGCTTATCCAGCCAAAAAAATGTGTTAAGCATCATTTTTTTGCCAGAGAATTAATTACTGTAGTCTATTAATCTTATCTGTTGGTGCAGAGGCAGAGGATCAGAAACTGCAGAGGGAAAAAGAAGCAGGAAGCAGTCAAGCTCCAAGCTGAAGCATCTGAGAACTGGCTAATGTTCTTTTAAGAGAGAGGCAGCACTTAGAGTTCTTTAGCAGTCGCCAAGTCTGAGGGAGAAAAAACCCCATCCCTGCCTCTGCATAATTCATTACCTATGTGATGATGATGATGATGTGCTTAGTCAGACAGACAACCAGCTACTCTGGCAATGGAAATTTAACTCAGATTGATGCAGCATACACATGATATTAATCATCTAAATCACTGAGCTGATGCCTTATCCAGTTTTGATAAAACAAATTCATCTCTCAAGCCAGTTCTACTGCCACACAGGGTACATTTTACAAGTAGTTTCACTTTAGTACAAGGTAATGCAGCAAATGCCGGCTCCCTGTTGGATAATAAGTCTCAGTATATTGATGTTTTGGGAAATGCTGATACTCTCTTGCCAAAATGAAAAGGTTATTTTCATCTGTCTGTACGCCAGAGAGCAAAGATGGGTATTCAAAAATATGTCAAACTTTGTCTTCAATATTTGACCCTCAAGATCAAGTCTTTATTTTTAAAACTAGAGGATGTTTTAAGGAGTTATGGTGTTAACAATGGGAGTTACACAACCTTTATGGCCCTGCATTGACTAATTAACAATCAATAAACCCTGGTAATGATTTAAAGGTTATCAGATTTCTCCTGCTCGAGCAGCTGGAGTTTCCTCTGCACACGCAGCCTCTCTGGTGCCAGCCTGGTTGGGCAGCAGAGCATCATGGGTGCACGGTTCCAGTGAATGCCAGCGCACGAAGGGTGGGTGGGGGGTATCCGGCAGCGAGCCGAGTCCCTGACCTTTCTTGTTTATCGATCAATAAGGCTCAACATTGCAGGGCTCCGGAAATCTCTCAGCAGAGAGACAAGAAGCAGGAGACTCATGCTGTCAGATGTTGCGCTAATTGCTTGTGGTTGCTAACCTCACCTGCCCCCTACTGCAGGGATCTCAGTGGAACCATCCAGGGCCCTCTGCAACTGGGACCTTCAGTGGATTGCAAGCCCTGGGACAGTGGGACAGTTTGCTTTGTTTCTGCTGGGTCATGTCAGGTAGCATGTGTGCATGATTAACCACAGGGTTGTTCATCCTTAAATGTAAATAATGTAAAGATGTCACCAACACGATAGTTTTTGTGCCAAGAAAATGATCAACTATTAATATAGAGTATTTATATATGAAATAGTGAGGGACTCTGAGGACCCAACTCTATTCGCTCTACGGAGTCTCTCTCTACTGTCAAAGGACAGCTGAAGACCCAGTTCTTTAGAGAACACGATGCACTTAGCCGGACTAATCTCCACTGTTGTCCCCAGTGGTTGAATGAGTCTTCCAGCTTCAGTTGACTTGCACTGTCTTGCTCTACTCTGGGAATTTACTGTATGTTCAGTGCTTGAGTGACCCGGCTCTTGGTACCTTGGTAATTTTGTGGTGAAGACAATTGATGGTGATGATGAAGGGTCTTAAATTGATTGATTGCCTCATTGTTGATGTTCCTTATTTTATACATATGAAAAATTAATAATAAAAATAAAATCTTTATTCACTGTTATGTCTTTTACACTGTACTTCTCATATGTACGTCCCTTTAGATAAAAGCGTCTGTTAAATGACATTGTAACATTTTAATATAGTGACTGCCATCTTTGGGTTTCATGATGCCTCTTCAGGCGCCAGTAGATAACATCTTAAGAAGGGACAAATTATACGTACTGTATAATAACAGAGAGCGTATAGCTCATACAAATGCAGTTTTTACTGCTATGGAAATGTGGTTTACAATCTTGGTGATAACAATGCATTATACAAGCCCAATCTTTAGTGTATTTCAAGCCCCTACGGTATTGATACCGTATATGAGAATAACCCAGAAAATACACCTCCCCGGATAAGAACACCTGCTAAAGCTCCCTCTTTTCCCCCTGCTGAGTGCTCACACTGCTCTGGGTAAATACCCTCTTCTTTGAATAATTTTACCAAAAAGTGACAGGTGAGCGATGCTCAGCGGGCAGTGGTGTGGAAATGCTGCGTGTAGGACTGTGTTCGTTGCTGGTTCTGAGCCTGCAGACATGTGGAGGAGTGGCAGTGAGCACGGCCAGCTCCTCTTACCGCCTAACTCTGCTTTCATAGCCTTGCTTTCATCAGGCTCGAGTGCCTCGGCTATTAGACCTTTGTGCTGTGTTGAAGGGGGGGAAGCGAAGTGTGCCAGGCTGCTTGGCGGGGTTACTTTCCAAACTGCTTCCAACAGCACAGCGGCTCTTTGATTAACTGCTGAAATTATGATTAACCATGAGAACTTTGATTCCTTAAACATTGTGGATGAATAAATCAGGTCAGTTTTTATGTATTTGTAGTTTGCTTTAGCACAAAAATCTATCAAGTGTGATGCAGGATATTCATTTTAAGAGTCTGTTGTAAATAATTCCACATATTGGGGGCACAGAAATCATAGCTCTATTTTTTAAGTATCAGATGGAATAAATTAAAGAGGGTCCAGAAGGCCAGTTTAGCATAGATGTAATATACAGGGTGAACAGCCAATGAGGGATCTATGGATAAAAGATACAAGTGTCTATTTCACTTGTGTGCCATGAAGACTGGCCAACCTAATTATACAGAATACAATGATGGGTGTCATATGGCTCTTCAGTCATAAATCTAAGAGAAGAGTGAGAGATTGAGTCCAGAGATTTGAGTGTGGAGGCTGCAGCATGCCTATGGTTGATACCACCAAAATCCAGAACTGAGAGAAAAAGCATAAATCTAGTTTTGTTTGTGTGAAATACAAACTTAAGACTAATAAGTGTATTTTAGAGGGTGCTAAGAAAACTGTATATGCTCGACAGTGAACTGCGCAGTGTCAGCAGTACAATACAGAACTGTATCATCAGCATAGCGATTGATGTTAAAGTTAGTTATAGGTGATAATGTTAGCGATGTAGATAGAAAATAAAACACAGCAAAGGATTGATCCTTTTAGAACACCAATCAGAAGCTCTGAATAAATATTAACCAGTTTTACACATTGTAACTCTTAAACTATTGTAAAAATGGCCCCACAAAGCATCTTCTTGGAAACAGTATCATTAATCACTAACCAGGCAGCAGAAACGGTGCTGTGCACGGGCCTGAAACCAGACTGGTAAGCACACAGGATGGAATATTTTGAGAGAAAGACTTAAAGTTTGTTATTGGCCTTGAATTCCAGAGTTTTGCCTTATGGGGTAGTTTGGATATTGGCCAGCAATTATTGGGATCACCATTGTCCTTTCCCTTGTGCAAGGAAGTCACCTGAGCATTTTCCAGGTATTGAGAGCTTTGCTGGAAAGAATAGATTAGAAATAGGTGTGATTTGATACCTGATGAAAGGTAAGGGGAGCTTTAAAAAGAAGACATCAAGTGTATCTGCTTTGTACGATTTTAATTTGACCCCATTTTAAGCCTCTAGATTAATTTCTTTAAGGAATTCTGAGCCTGATGGATTAAAAAACTAAAGGAAAAGTCAAACCTCAGTGTTTGAATTATATTTTTGTTTCCAAAGTCATGATGGCAATGCTTCTCATTTTTTTGTATCTGATGTATTGCAAGAGGAAGAAATACACACAGACACGTATCTCCCTTCTGTTCCCTTCAAACAGATTATGCTCACCACCTGTAGATGCTTTCACAATAAATCTGCAATTTCTGTCCTCACATTTCATTCTGTTCCCTCATTCCCTACTCTCCAAATTGCTTCTCCACTCCCTCTGATATCTGAATTATAACAGTGTCACTATAGTAAACACAGTTGAGACACTTGCAGAGCTTTAGAGCATCTCATCATATCCATCTACCTGCAGATTCATCTCTGGGTGCCACATAACAGCCCTTTCAGAGCTTTAACAGAGTTTTCTTCCTATGCCAACACACTTCCATAGTGCAGAAACACAAGTGTAGCAAGGAGAGACATGCAGAAACAAAATCTATTGAGTGTTCGCAGCCAGAGGCAGACTCTGGGACTATGAAGCTGCTGCCAGAGAGGAGCGGGTGAGTGAGTGGCAGGTGGCCTGGCCCCAGGGACTCCTAATGAAGAGAGTCGGCCTGCCTGCTTATCGATCCAGCCACATCAGCTGATCGGATGCCTGGCTGACTGGCAGACCACGGGAGGGGAAAGGAGGGAGCGGGGGGGTTTTAATGGGCACCTGGGGCAACACACACACACACACACACACACACACAGGACAGAAACTTTGAGCACCTTGAGCGGAGTGTAATAGTGTGTTTACAGAGTTGTTTCAGTTCACACATTTGTTACTCTAGAAGAAGTATGAAAGACGGGCAAAAAGTGGAACTTTTTTAATGAAGTGAAAAAACACAAGGAGAACCTCTCTAAAGGTCAATTCTAATGTCTGTTTCTGTGCCAAACTAGCTGGTTTATAAAGTCTCATTGGGGAA